TTAGATCTCGTATAAATGAATTTAAATTTGATTTCAATCAAACTTAAAATTATTACAAAATTTAGTAGCTTTAAGGTATTATGATTCATATATACATAAAAAGTAAAATAAGAAAATCAATTAATCATTGATATATTTAATTTTTTTAATAGTAACATCTTTTCAATATCATTACTTTTTAAATTTTTGTGAAAACTAAATAGTCGGTATTAGAATAATCTAATATTAGAAAATATGGATGTTATTCTACAACCTAAGCAATTATTAAAAATATTGGTGTGTAGTTAAATATAATGATGATGATGATGATGATGATGATAGTAATAATAATATAACAATAACAATATCTAAAATTATAATATTTATTAAGATTTAATTGTGTGTAGTTTTCAATAAAGTAATGTGATTTAATCAAATAATAGTAATTATTATTTAATCCTTGAAAATATAAATTTTATTTTTATATTTTTTCTGATTTGATATTATTTGATTTGATTTGGCCTGATCGGATCTGATTGAAAAGAAAAGCATAGTGTTATCTACTAAAGTTCAAAAAAGCATAGTGTTATCTACTAAAGCATAGTGCTATCTACTATAGTTAAGTAGAAATTTCCGTTAAGTGAAATTAGTGTTATCTACTAAAGTTCAGAGTTAGCATTTTAATTGACAAAAGAATAATGACACCATGTATTAATTTGTGTCTATTAATATGTTTACTTAGAATTTAAATGGACAAATTTCACATAAAAGACTAATTTAGTTCATATTTTCTAGTTATAGAAATTAATTTTATCTAAGTAAACTTAAAAGTATCAAATTGATTCATGAATGTACTTACAGGGACCAAACTAATAAACTAATTCTAACTCAATTTAAAATTATAAGAAAATTGAGGCTTTAATTATCTAATCATTGTAATTGACAATGGAGGCTTAAATTGATTAAATTATTATAGAAGATGTAAATTTGAGGGAATACAATCTTATTTTTCCTTTGGATAGTTAGATTGGAATATGTATGAGATTTCGTGGATAGACTTTTCCATCGAAATTCAAATTTTTGTATGAAAAAATAAAGAAACTTTGTTCCTCGTCCATGAACTTTTTTTGGGCTTATTAAAATGTTAGTGAAAACAATATCTTACTTTGATGATGATATTTAATTTCTAAGGTTAAAAGTCAAAGTATGCAAAAGTTTAGCATGCACTCTCTCTCTCTCTTTTAATTGATCACTAGCTATATATTAGGAAATGAAGTGTGTTTAATTGTATTCATTTGGTTTTTGGTGTGTCTTAAAGTCACAATGATTAATTAGAAGTAAATGGAATGAGTAATGTTTTCAGGGAGGACGATGTTAATAATTTATGAAACATATTAGTTTGTTTTGTAATGAGCACTTTGTTGGGATCGCGCGTGCCCTCACTCTAACGTTACATTAATATGATATTGTCCACTCTCGCTAAACTCTCACAAATTTGTTTTTAGACACTTTCCAAAGGTCTCATACTAATGAAGTTGGAGTAACCATATAAGTATTGGTTCCCTTTCTTTTTTACATATGGTGTGGGGGGTTGTTACCCAACAAACCTCCCTTCAAATCCAGACCACACAATTTTGTGACCTCCCCTCAAATGATTATCTGTTTCTGATCTGTGATCTTCTTGTCCCACCGTAACAACCTGCATGACACGCCGTCCGGTCACCTGTCCCTGTTACGAAAATGAGTACTCTATGCGGATGTATGATATATGTACTCTGCATGTATCATGACAAATACCATTTTCTATTCAATAGCCTAAAAATAAATTTATTTCATTTTTTTAAAGTATCGTTCCAAAGGTATGAAGGACCCTAAGATAGGATTTTGCTTTTTTTATTTTAAGAAGTCATTTAATCAGAATGTTGAGGAATGACAATGAAGAAGGGTGCTTAATAATACTCCTATCCTATAAAAAAACCTAATTCGACATTTATAAAATTAAAAAAATTAAAAAATTAAAAATTTAATGATTAAATTTTATAAAAAATAAGATGTGACAATAATTTTTAATCTTATCAAATGATTAATGATAATGAAATACACAAACAAATAAAAATTATGGAAAGACAAATAGAAATTGTGTAATATGTTAGTGTTGGGCCAAGTTGGGCCATTATATCATTATGTGGGCTTTGTAGCAAGTTCAACTCTGAACAGAGGAACACAAGTTTTATGGTGTTCCGAGTCGCATGCAATAGCTCCCCGTCCTCACCCTCTGCCGGCGGATAAGGATAGAAAGCCTCCCATTCTTCAAGCTCTCTCGCCGGGAAAACGCCATGTCTATAGCTTCTCTCCGCCTGGCGCCGCCGCTCTCCGCCACCACCAAATCCCCCGCGGAACTCCACTCCTCCTTCCTCATCCGCCGCCCTCTCATTGTTCCCAAACCCCTCAAATCACAGTCACTCCGCCTATTACACTCTCCAATCAAGTCCTCCATGGAGGCCGGCGTGGGCGTAATGGGGACGAAACTAGGAATGATGAGTTTCTTCGAGCCGTCCGGCACGGTCGTTCCCGTCACCGTCATCGGATTCCGCGAGGGGAACATCGTCACACAGGTCAAGACCGATTCCACCGACGGATACAATTCCGTTCAAGTAGGTTACCGCCGCGTCCGGGACCGGAAGCTCACCAAGCCTGAAATGGGACACCTTCAGAAATCCGGCATAATTCCTTTGCGCCATTTGCAGGAGTTCCGGCTCCCGTCCGTAGAGGGCTTCGAGCCGAACCAGAAGCTGGTGTTCAGTGAGATCTTCAAGGAAGGTGACATAGTTGATGTTTCTGGCACCACTATTGGGAAAGGGTTTCAAGGTATTTCTGCATAGTTGATGCATACCAATGTCTGCATATACTGATTGATTGCATTGTCATTGTAGATATTTATGTAGGGTTTCATCATGATCTTGATCAAATTTTGGCTTTTCTTTCTCATCATAGATCATTAGTGACTGAATTGTTTGAAATGAGAAGCATTTGGTTAAATCAATTTGAGCCAAATTGTTGGGGATGTAATGTTTGTCATTGCTTGTCCTGAAAAGCTCCTCCCTGGAATGCCTTTTTCGAAAACCTCTAATTTTGAACTTCTTTTGAGAAGTAAATTGTAGAGGAAATAAGCTGGATTCAGTTTTGTTGCCATTGCAAACACTCCAGCCAACTGTTTACAAACCCAGCATAAACCTTGTGTAAAAAGCAGTGGCAAACTCCTCCCAGTGCAACATCAAACCAGCATAATCCGAACTCCGGTAGGATCTATGGTGGTCAAGATGTGCACAGTCTTACCCGGCAAAAATAGAGAGGCTATTTCCGTTATACCCCAGATGCATTTTCTTCTTAGAGAGTGAAAAACGAAAGAAATTTAATGCGCCTTTATTGTTTAGTCCATTATGTTCGCGAAACTAAAACATTGTCAATGATTACTCCATTTACTCATTTAACACAATTAGCAATGGACATGGGCAACCCCCCAGTCCCCCACCCCCACCACACACACACGCACAATAGCGTGTCAAACGATTTGATGCAGAATGAGTAAGTCGATTGATGCGGTTAAACAAAGCCTTTGTATGAAAAACACAATGCTTTGTCACTTGGGTGGCATTCCATATTGGGATATCTAATTAGTGAGCATCTTTTTTGCTTCTTTTATAAAATATTTTACCAGGTGGAATCAAAAGGCACCATTTCAAGAGAGGTCCGATGACACATGGATCAAAGAGCCATAGACAGCTAGGCTCAATAGGGGCAGGGACGACCCCCGGGCGTGTTTACCCTGGCAAGAAAATGCCGGGAAGAATGGGTGGGACAAAGAGAAAGATTCGAAAGTTGAAGGTCGTCAAGATTGATGACGAGCTCCGCATCGTGCTGATCCAAGGTGCTGTTCCTGGTAAGCCGGGAAATCTTCTCAGAATCGCTCCAGCCAAGATTGTAGGGAAAAACATCCCAAAGAGCTAAGCCGCCCCTTTTTCTGCTACTTACCCATTCCCTTTACTCTGTAATTTGTTGTAATATATTCTTTTAATTAATGAATACAAGCAGTATTTTCATGTTTGTTTTGGGGTCAGTATTTTTCAAATCACCATTTTGGTTGTAAGCATCACATCAGACAGTATTTTTAACCATTTCTATGTCCAAAACATAATATTCTCGTTATGTTCTACTACGATTAAAGTTCATTCAGGATAAATTGGTAGTGTCAAAGGTATAGTAAAACAATAACAATATTAAAACATCAAATTCGACACTAAAGTTGACATCATTAGGCTGTTTTTCACGTGTAATCGTTAGTGATCAACTATTATCCGTGAAATGCAATCCTAGTGTCATCTTTGGTTTATTTTAACATGTCCAAATCCTCTCAAGAGTAGAGTCTAGGGACTAGGAAAATAGAACTCACATCTAGTTCAAAAAATATAGAAATTGCTTTCGAAATGATCTATAAGTAACAAGTAAATGTGAGGAATGAGAAGAGACCTACAATGACTCTATAACATATACGACTCTCGCAGACATCAACCTCAATTGCTCCTCCTGGCATGACCATAAAACATTTTCAGCCAATTTGGGAAAATGGTCAAGTTTAGGAGGCTCTATTGCACCATTTGGTATCGGCATGAAGAACGCATAGCTATAGTATTCAAAATGCCTAATATGGAATGGAACCACATGGGAACAGAAAACATCAAGATTTTAAAAAAGCAACAACAAACCCAATAAAATCCTACAAAAGTAAGGTCGGGGAAAAAAGAATGGACAAAATGATGCATCATTCAAATTACGCGCGTATAAAATAATTTAATAAATAGTTGCTGAAGCTGAAGCATCCTACAAAATAGCAGCATCAAATTATGAGGTGTGGGATTATCTCATGCACTTCAGCCTAAACTATTATTTACTACTACCCCACAAGTAAGTGTTACTAAAAACTAAAGTCTACTACTACTACACACTACTATACATTGGCAAAAAGGGGAAATCATGCCTAATCACCAAGGCCACATGCTCTCCATCTCTACTCACTCAGAGGGATTGTACCGCAGATGTTGCTCGTAGAAGTTTATCAGCTGCACAGTTTAGCAAAACACATCACACTAGTTACACTCGTTCTTCTTTGAACACAATCAGACTTGAAAATGGGAAAATTTTGTGTACCAGAAGTGGATTGTTTGCCTTTAGAAATTTGCTGTCCACCGTTATCTCTTTCCCATCAGACCTGTAGAGCAGAATGCAAATAGGGTCAAGTACAGCCATCAATGTCTCAGATGGCTATGAATGAATCATCCATGTATCATATGGGTTCTACATTCGTTTAGGAAACCGGTGGTAAAAACCATACCAAATGAACCAAGAATAAAGTTCTTACTACATGAAACCGTATATATTATATGCCAGTCTTTCTTCAACTGATTCATAAAACTTTTACACTACATATTTATTTAGATATCAAAGTCTTGGAAAACGAGAGATATTTATAAAGGAGAAAAGTTGGCATTGAGTAACAAACCTCTTGGCCAAAAAGGTGATTGAAACTTCTTGGACTCCATTGGATACAAAAGCTTGATAGCCAACTGGTTTGACAATCTGAGTAACATTATATACATCTTCAAAACTCTTGTACGCCCAGTCGTTTTTCACACATGGGTTCTCAATTCCTCCAGGTGCAAGAACTGCATTAACATTGCTACTTGGTTCCCTGGTTGTATCATCTGCCACGCCATTACACGTATTCGAGGGAGACTCTTTCTTGAATCTCTTGACCGACCCCGACTTCCTCCTCTTAGCTCCAATGGACCGACCCGATTGATCCTGAGTTTTGTTATTATTTACAAGAGCGCCACTGGCTAAAGGAATCTCCCTCAGTTCACTGAGCTTTACATCCAAGTCATTTTCTTCACTCGTTTTCACATGAACAGACGAATCCGCTGTCTCGCCATCCTCGTGCACTGCCAGCTCAGCTTCATTGTTCGCCTGATGATCCATGACATCATCGCGTGATGATGCCAGGGGCAAAGGCTCATCAACTAGCCTGACCACCACAGGTTGCGAACTGCACTCTGCTACTCTAGGGGTGCGCTGCTGCTGTTTTGGTTTTTTCTTCGGTTGGGTCGGGGTGACTTTATGCTTGCGCTTGCGCCCGCGGGTGGATCTTGACCGCGAACTTCACACAATAAACAGAAGAGGAAAAAACAAATCAAGATTGCAGATTTTCACAACAAAGAGATATCAATGCCAAGATTTAAACCTTTCTTCAAAAGCCTCGATGAAATCGGAGCAGGAAGACAAATTCTCCACGGGCTCCCATGTGTTTGCAGTCTCAGGCCAGCCTCGCCTTTCGCGAAATAAACACCAAACAGGTTAGAAACAGGGGGAAAAAACATCTACGAACCAGAACAAAATACTAATTGAGAGGAACAAGAAAAGCATAATGCTTACCATTTGATCAAGTACTGAACTTTGCCCTTTTGTATTCCAGCAGGGAGATGAACATAATCATCAAAGACAATGGGGGAGAAATCAGGTGAAGAAAGAAAGAAAGAAATTGGGGAAAATGGAGAAAAAGAACACACAAAAATGCAAATTTTTCTAAGTGATAAAAGATTGTACCTTTCGGACTCTCTTCTTCCGTACAGCTTCAATCTCGTAAAACCCTTCTGCTAGCTTAGGTCTTCCGTTCCGCTCATCGTACACTTCCCCTCGGATCGATAACTCATCGAATTCTTCTTCCTCCTCCTGCTGCTCCCCGTCAACGACCTCCTCCTCCTCCGCCGCCGCCGCATCAGTCCCGTCGCTCTCCGCCGTAACACCCAAAGGCGACCCGGAGAAACCGGCGGCGCCGCGGCCGTCCTGGGAGACCTGTGAGGAAGATTCCGGATGAAAATATTTCCTTTTCCATGCCTTCATCTTCTTTCTCCCACCCAAAACAAAACAAACACAAAAAAGAACTCCCTCTTCTTTCCCTCTCTCTCTCTCTCTAGTTTCTCTCTCTAAAAATTCTCCCTTTTTTCTTCCCCACAGTGCTTTGACGGGAGAGAGACTTTTTTGAGCTTGTCTGTCTGGTAGTTGATGACAGACAGATACTAATTTTCAATTTCTTTTTTTTCTTTATCGTCCGAGAAAATGTGGAGCGGACCATTTGAAACTTGAAAGTCCAAAAAGATTGAAACTTGTTCCTGTTTTCTTGTCTTCTTTGATTTTGTTCTTCCAAATTCGATTCCCCCCTTAAATCCTTATGTTTAAATGTTTAATAGACATATTAGTATACCGAAAAAAAGTTCTTGAAATTAAAAAGATTAAGGGGCGGTTTGTTTTGAGCCTCTTAATGATTCAGATGTCTGAATGGTTCAACACTTAATGATTCAAACTGTTTGTTTCGTGATCAAATATCTGATTGGTTCAGACATTTGCTTCTGAATGATTAAGTATTAAAGAAAACTCCTTAAATAGGAGTAAAACATATATCTTATCCTTATAATAAGAGCTCAAATTTAAACTCCCCTAAATAGGAGTATTTAAATAAGAAAACTATTTAGATAAAATTAAAACATAACTCCTCAAAATAGGAGCTCAAATTAAAATTCTCTAAACAAGACCTAAATAATTAGAGTCTAAACTAACCCACCACGCCTGATTCTCAAATAAGCTCTTTCTTATCCATTCGTATCCATTCGCAGCCACTCTCTTCAGCCCATTGCAGTATCTTTTGTATTTTAATATATGGTGGGTCAGTTGAAAGGGTGTTTAATTTAGTTTGTTTTAGGGGATGAGGTTGATTTTTTGGGATTTTTATAGGGATTCTATTCCTATCAATGTTATTTAGTTTTGTAATTGGCTAATGAAACTGATGCTTTTTGTTATGACTTATGAGAGCATAATAACTCTGTGCTATTTTTCAAAGCAATTTGAAGAGAATTGTGTAGGCTAATTTTTGAAGAGAATTGCTTTGGTACTTGCCTGGTCGTGCAAAGCATTAAGTCATATTTGACATTATGCTTTTGTGTAACATTTGTAAATTCACATTAATTCACATTGTGACATTATATATGAGCATTTGTAGCATTATATATGGGCATTTGTGCCATTATATATTGTTATGTATGACACTATGTGATGTCATGTTTGTCATTATGTCTTTTTTGGCATTGTATTTTATATTTGATGGTTAATGTTACACTGCGACGACAATGATACATAATTGTGATGGTAGAGAGCGGTAGTGTTGGTGGTGACGGTGAAAAATCAACAACGGCAATGGAGGATTTTGACAGCAACGACGGAGGAGACTTAAGTGATAATGGCAGAAACACAGCGACTAGGGCGCAACGACATCAGCAACCTGTTTGTGATGGAGCAAGTTGCTGAATTGTGTTTTAGTTTCAGAACTATGACAAAGTTTCTTTTTTGGTTTGAGCAAGTTTCTTTTTGGGGTTGAGCTAATATTTGCATGTACTCTTTTGTTTTCTAATATTTGAGCTAATACGGTAGATGAGCAAGATGAGTGGAGCGTGGGTACATTGATTGAATTACATAGATGAGTTGTGCACACATTAACTCCTACTAGCATCACTCCCGTACGTTGCACTGGTCATACTTATATTATTAAATTAAGATCATTTTTGAAGGATACAATTTCTGATCTAATACTCCCTCCGTCCCTGAAACATCTTCACCTTTCATTTTTTCTTTGTCCCACAAACTCCTCATTTTTCTATTAAAAAACTACTTTTACCCCTTACTTTTTCATATTCTACCTATCACATCATACCTTTTTACTAATAATCTATCTATCACATCTTACTTTTATCATTCACATCAAGTGTATTTTTGGAAAGTCAACACTAAAATATCTCTTACTTAATTTTCCAAAAAGTTAATAAGGGAACTTCTTTCGGGACGGAGGGAGTAGAATATAAAAAATTTATTATTTTAAGGTACAAAAGTTATTATTACTTTGACATTTTTTATATTTAATTTCTTTTATTATTTTTTATTTTGATTTTTTTAATTGTGCCTTCCTTAAATGCATAAACTTATATATTTAAACTTCTTTATAAAATATTTTGCACCGAATCTCTAAATGGAAACATAATTAAACTGAAAGCTTATTTTCTTTACATAATCACACCGTAATAAATTAATAATGATTAAATATGGTAATATTAAGTTTGGCCATGTTCTCTAAATGGAAACATTTTTAAATTGAAAGCTTATTAGATTAGAATTATTAGACGATAATAATGACCAAGTACAATAATTTTATTACACAGTATATTACTATCATTCTTCTTACATGGTAATAAATTAAAAATGATTAAATACGGCAATATTATTACACAATATATTAATATTATTATTCTTGTTACACGGCAATACATGATCTATTCTTTTTACACGGTGATTTATGATGTAATTATCATTTATTTATTCAACACTTACTATATATACCACCATTTTTATGTATTACTTTGACATTTCTTTTAGATTTGATTTCTTTCCGAAAAGGAAACAATTTGTTTGTATGATTAAAATGGTTTGTTTCTAAATTGGAAAAGGAAACAAATAGTTTGTATGATTAAAATGATTTGTTTCTTATTTGGAAATTACATAAATTATGAAACTGTAAATTTAATGCATTGATTAAAAAATTTACACCTTAACGTGATTATTACCTTTTATAGACAAATATTATTTTTAGTTGAATGATAATCTTTTTTTATTATATAAATTCCAATTTTATAAAAAAGTTCGGCATTAGAAAAGAAGTTTATATAAATAATATTTTTTATATTTTGTTTCCTTTTTAGAAATATATTAGGCATGCGAAATTTCCTTTAATTTATCATTCTAAATAAGAATAGAGTAATTAAGTAAATATGCATGCAAAATTATTCTAAAAAGGAAATAACGTAGATCTTGTTTGCGAAATTAGTCCCTTCCTTTTTTATCAGAATTAAGTAATTATGTATTCGAAATTTCTTTTAATTTATCATTCTATTATTCTTAAAAGTATTTCCTTTTAAGAATAGAGTGATTAAGTAAATAATTACCTATTTAATTAGGCATAAACAATTACTTTTTGATAAAATAATGAGGCGTAAATTATTCCAAGTAATAATAATAATAATAGTAGTAATAATTAGGCGTAAATAATTACCTATTTAAAAAGGAAACAAAATATATAAAAAAATCTCCTGCATCTTTCCTTCTTTTTTATCACAATCAAGTAATTAGGCAAAATTGATTACGAAACAAATTACTCCCTTCCTTTTTTATCATAATAGAGTGATTATGCATGCAAAAGTTCCTTTAATTTATCATTCTAAATAGGTAATATTACACAATCAATCATAACCATAGATCTTGTGTGTTCCTTGATATCGACGGTGCATGAGATGAGTACATTGGGCGGGAAAATAATTCCCCTGCTTTTAAGAATAGAGTGATTTTGGGGATTTTATCTTTCTACTCCTATTTTTGGATTTAATCAATCTTTTACTCTTATTTTGTTCCTTAACCCTAAGTATTATACAGAGTTCTGAATGGTTAAGACCTCTTATCTGAATAGATCAGACATTTGTCTCTGAATAGTTAAGCAATATACTAGCACTTAATGGTTCAGACCTCTTACTCGTTCAGCACTTAATGGTTCAGACCTCTTACTGGTTCAGCACTTAACTATTCAGAAATTGTCAAACAGCCCCTAAATGTAGTCGCATTAATTGAAACATTTTGCCATTAAAAAATTTATTAGGCATTTTAAAGTGCAAAAATCATGAATATATTTACTTAAAAATTTAAAAAATCATAAAGGATGCTTTAAAAACTTAAAAGTATTCAATTGTTATTTTTTAAAAAGTTTTTAAAACCATAGTTATCCAAGATATATGAAATTAAAGTATATTTAAACTTTTTCTTTTTGATCTACACATGAATTTGGGATCCTTTAACTTCGTTCTACACATATATGAGTCATTCTTAGCATACTTTTTTTTCTTCCCCGTTAAATAGTTTAGTCACTAATTGCGTCTTTGAATGCTTGCTTAGTATTAAATTCCATACTCAGTTCTAACCCGGCATCCTCAAACCAAGCATTTGGATTTTAGTTTGAACTAATCGAGGGTAAACAGATTACAGGGAATCTTCTTTAGAATCGAAGGCATGTCATTATCTTTGGAGTGCCATGATTTATCTCAATCAACACCTTGGAACATCCATCTAAAAAATTAGAAATTAATGGTTTCATATCAACTATTATTTCAAACATTGAACGGACTAATGCATGTTGTTGTCTACACTTTAATCAAATTGATAGAGTTGTTATTCATGATGATTCGTATGAAAGATTTAGAGGGGTGATAGGAATACAATTCTTTAGTTCCAAATAATAGTTAAACTAATCACACAAAAAGCCAATCAAAGAGAATACAAAGTAATACTTATATTTGTGGAGAATCAAACATATAGTAAAACTAATTAGAGTAATCACTAAAATATTTCTAGTAAAACTCAGAAACCCCATCAAAAATAAAGGACACCATAGAAACAAGAAGAAAAATAATAATAAAAATATGTTTTCGTACCTTTGAATTGATGACGACCAAATTTGTCTCAAACACCGAAATTGTGTTCCTTGGTTCCAGAGATGATGGGTGAGAGATGTAAAGTTATGTTTCGGTGTTTGTGTATAAGACGATTTGGTCATTTTCTCTTCACCTGATCTGATTGGTTTTAATCTCACTGAAATAAGTTTTGATCTAATTTGATCTTGTCTAATCTGATATGATCTAAATTTTGTTATATTTATTATTTTTTATCCGATCTGATTCTAATAAAAATAAGTAATAAATAAAAAAAATAAGTTGAGGAGAATATGACATAAGCCTTACACTTAATTCAATCACTTAAATCTACCAATGGGCTCCACGATTCATGTGGAAACGCCACGTTATTGCCATGCTATTTTTGACGAAGCCACGTTATTGCCAACTCATCCTTATATAACACTCTTAAATCGAAATCCGTTAGAGGGTTTGGTTTGTTTCAAATTTTTTTACTTTTAACTTGTTCTTATTGGAATCAGATCAGATTATAAATAGTTTTAAACATAACTTCATTCATATTAGAACCAATTAGATCAGATGAAGAGGAAATGATCTTATATGACTCAATGGCACATACAAGGACTAAATTGACTAACATGTACACTTAGAGGAACCATATTGAGCATTAACTCTTATTAATATCTTATCGACAGCTCCATGTATTTTAGTAGGATTCTTTGAGCAGCTAACTCCTTTTTGAAGACTTTTTGAATTTTTCGTAAGTTTCTTCGTTTCTAAATCCGAAAAATATTTTTCTTCATTACTATATTTTCTAAAATTTATACTCTTTGACATTATGAACATAATAATTTAACATTATAAGACGTACTACCTCTGTCCCTCTATATTCGTCCACTTTTGACTTTTGGAACTGTTCATCTAAGCATTTTGACTCATCAAATTCTCTCAATGTGTAAGCCTAAATATAGTCATGTGTGATCTTGTTTGATTTTTCTTAACATATAGATTATTAATATATAATTTCTATAATTTTTTAATATACAAATTACAAGACAAAATGGATTAAAGAAGTGTATTAGATGGTGTGCAAAAATGAAAGTGGACAAATATTCTGGGACGGAGGGAGTAATAATTTGTCATTTAAGAAAACCTAATAATATGCTTAAATATTAATACTATATAGTGTTTTCGATACTATGTAAAAATATTGAAGGTCATATTTTGATACATTCGACATGCTTTAATTCATGGTTTAATATTTTCTCACATTTTTGGACCCATAAATATTTTACTCATATCATCTTATCAAATATACTGCCCTCAAGGCCTCAACTATGGCCTAATCTGGAAACATATTTTTAAATTAGCTTTAGCATCTTAGATTATTTCTTATAGTATAGATTAACTTTAAATATGTTCATATAACACAGACACTGTGTCTATGAGAAGATAATATGCATATGGAAAACACCATTTTAAAATACACATAGCAAATCCAGCTTCTCACGCCCCATACCCCATGAAACCAAGATCACAAATATTAGGGATTTGTGGAAGGAATTGCTGGTCAGGGAAATGGCCCTATCTGTATTATACTCTGTTGTTCCCAGGAGGGTTCTTTCCAGCATTTACGCCGGCGAATTCAAGGTCTCCTCCTTCGGAAAACTCTTCTTGCCTCCAATTTCACCCCTTCCCTACCACAGATTTCGGCGTCGTTGCCGGAGCGCCGCCGCAACTGCGTTGCCGGCGGATGCTTCGACTTCCGTAGATTATAAAGAAAGACAGCTAAGCGGAAGCCCTAAGCTCGTTGCATTGGAATACGCTGATCTCAATCTCACTGATAAGTCCTGCGAGGTTAGGAAAATCTTACCTAAACATTAGATGAGACTGGATAAAGAGTTCATGTTTTTGAATTTTGTAAGATTTTATGATTTGGGTGTTAGAGCTATTGGTTTTCACTTGAAGCTAGCATAGGATTCCACCATAAAAGTTCAATCTTGATAGGGGTCCTTATTTGATTGTATCTTTATATTTGGTATGGAGAAGTCTTAATATGCTCATTGTTGAGATGTATTGGGATCATATTGAATGGGTAGAGTTTGATACCATATTAAGATTCAAAGTTCCATCCTATAAATTTGGCCAATGTCACATGGCTTAACAAAATTTACATCTTATAATTGAAAAGCAGTTTAATTTGTGTTTGCAAATGAGTTGAAGTCTTCTCTTCTTTAAATACTACGGATATATAGCATCTAGCTCTTTGCAGCATTGTGTTTCTTGGTATTGTTAGTTTACTCATGACATGATGTCATGATTTGAAGAGTACTCTCGTGAATCCGTTGACCACCAAAGAATTCTTTGCTAAATGTGATGTTGCAGGAAATCGGTCATGTCCGAATAAGGCAACATGTTAACCCTTTGCGCTCTTCCCTCATGGTATTCCTCACTGTTTTGAGTTTCCTCTTCTGATTAAAGTTTTGGTTTTGTAAAAACAGAAAACGTTAATTTAAACATTTTTATGCGATAATTCTAATACGGAGTATTGTGTGATTTATTCACTTGATTTTTTTTTGTGAAATGCATATTGATATGAGAAGGCTCCTGCAGAAGCACCAAACTGGGATGAGGTGTATAAGGACACATCATTGCCGCTGATGGTGGATATAGGAAGTGGTAAGGACCAAAGAGTATACTTGTATATTTCAGATACAATTGCTTATTCTCCGTGGATTATGTCTGATCACCTTCTTGCATGTTAAATTGGTTCTATAAGTTGCAGATCTTTATTATTCCCCTCATGCCTCTCCCGGCCATGTTCCAAGATTTGAATGTTGTTTTTTGGTACAATTGTGTAATGGACATGTCAATAGCAAATATCTCAAGTTATCATTGTCTTCTGATATTTTCCATGCAAGTTGAAATGATGATGATGTACTAACGGTTTTAGAATCTTCATCTTGTTTTTCCTCCTTAAGAAGGTGAGACAAGGAGGGCATCCAACGGACTCCATTTGTCCTAAAGTTAACATCTAAAGTTGACTTGTCCCACATATTAAGAAAGTGAAATTGTGTAGATGTAGGTTATTTAGAAGTGAAAGAAATACATTGGACCGCACAAAGATTTCTATAAAAGGTGCAAACAACAACCCTTAAAGGAAAGTGGGGAGAAAGTTTTAGGACACATAGAGTGCAATATTGCCATTATTGTTATTATTTTGCATGAATTTACAGAATTAAGTGATTGTGTACGACTACTTGTCTCTATAAGTCTAATGCTACCAACCCCAACTAATTGAGATTAAGGTTTAAGTATAGCACAGAGGGGACCTTTTGCTTCCATTTAAATCCTTTAGTTGCTCTCATTTCTTTCCCTTCTTTTCCTCATTGACAAACACTTGTTTTTTATGGTAGATCTGTTGATTATGGTCTAACAGATATTCTGTGCAGGCGGTGGCAGATTTCTGTTGTATCTTGCTAAGCAATATCCCAAATCCAAAAACTACCTGGGATTTGAAATTCGGCCAAAAGTAATTCAAGTCTAGTCTCCCCCCATATATTTTTTGTATTTAGTGTTTTAATATTTCTTGGTTCTCTGTCAGTAAAAACTAAAAAGTCTATTTTTTTTTGTTTTTTTGGGCACTTGTCTTCTGCAGCTGGTTACTCGTGCAGTGCACTGGGCGAGCGAGCTAGGTCTCAGAAACATGTAAAGATTTAGAGAAATTTTATTTTCTGTTGAGAAAATCTATTGAGCTCTATTTAATCACATTTAATGTGCAGACATTTCATGTTTGCAAATGCCACAGTTTCTTTTGGGACAGTTGTATCTACATATCCTGGGCCTTTACTATTGGTTTCTGTCTTGGTAAGTCCACGCCTTTTGCTTAATTTAAGGATTCCTGAAGAAATGTTTGAAATTACTATCGATTAAAACGTTACAGCCAGTTGCCTATATCTACAGTGCCCTGACCCTCATTTCAAAAAGAAGCATCATAAGAGAAGAGTCGTGCAAAAGCCATTAGTTCAGTCCATAGTTGATCGTTTAACACTACGTGGTCAGGTACACACTGAATTTTGGTTTCATAGTGCATAATGAGACAATTAAGGGGTTTCTCTGTGATGGTGTTTATTGGCTTATTGTTGATAGCACCTTGGTTCCCATGACATTGGGAACATATAAGCAGTTTATATGTTAATAACTGTCTATAAACTGTCTATATGTTCCCAATGTCATGGGATGACCTGGGGGTGCTCCGGTGCCCCGTTCGAAAAATTGACGGTTCCTATCCCCCGGTAAACTCCCCCCACCCCGCCCCGACCCGAACACGCTCCCCCAATTTGACTCCAAAGTCAAAATCAACTTGAGGGGTGCAATTGAAGGGGGTGGGGGGCGTGTTTGGGTCGGGGCGGGATGGGGGGGGTTTACCGGGGGTAGGAACTGTCAATTTTTTGAACGGGACACTGGAGCACCCCCGGGTCATCCCATGACATTGAGAACATATAAACAGTTTATAGACAGTTATTAACATATAAACTGCTTATAACCTCAACACTCTTCCGTGGAAGTAAAATGACTTAAGTGATAGATAAATCATTTGGAAATATTCATAAATGGTGAGGGATAGGTTTGTAAATAATGTGGTCAAAATGAAAAACGAAAAAACTTGCTTAAAAATAAGTAGATTAAGACCTACTTATTTTCTATGGCTCATAAGCAGCTTATAAGCACATAGAAACATGTCATCGGCTAACTTATAAGCACAGAGAACCACCCACTAAATAATACTTTCAATTCGCACATTGTGATTTTCGGCGAGCAGGTCTTCATACAATCTGATGTGCTGGAAGTGGCTAATGACATGAGAGATTGTTTTGATGGGGTTCCGAAGCTTCTTCACGCGGACGCCATTGATTCTAATGTGCTCTGTGACAGTGATGGATGGGTATTGAACAATCCCATGGGGATAAGAACTGAAAGGGAGATTCATGCAGAATTTGAAGGGTCCAGAATTTACAGAAGGTTATATGAAAAGGTTGGTGACTGATTCTGAAGCATTTCTTCAAGCTGATATTCTTTTTGAAGGGGATTCCGACATTTCCCAGATCCTTCTCGTCCAAACGGATCCTTACTCGTTACATCGTCCAAACAATGCATTTGGTTCCGGAATCAGGGGTGTCTTGAGAACAGTATCTCTACTTACAAGTAGGGGTTCGTGTACCAAACAGAGAAGCAGGGATTGAATGCGCCGAATCTTTCTCAACTTCTGCGTTCGGATCCAACACTTTATATTTGTCTGATCTTTTCAAGGGCGCAAAGTGCTAAAACAACATTTTTATCGTGCAACGCAGAAGTATGAAGGTAATAAGTAATAACAGATAAATAAAGACAAAATTAAAGATGTTAAATCAAAGAACAAATATATCTTAACATTAGAATTTGACATCGAAGTCTCATGTTATTCGCAGACATACTCAAATAATAATTATCAATGCACAGAGTGTATGTTTGTAACATTAGTCTTGGTGTCAAGATTGACCTTAGGCCGTACGGTGTGGGTGGCATGGCTCATGAGGGAGCCGCGATGGCTGATGTGGCTACTACATTGGCCCGTGACGAGGAGGGAATACTGCGCCCCCCCCCCTCCCGTGAGCCTGATGAAAGTGATGGTTTCTTTTGCTCCGGTCCTTTGTTTCTTCTACTTCTTCTTCACCTTCTTCTGCCTCTGTGATCCTCCCTCCTCCTGTGTCCCTTTTTTCTCTTCTACTTCCTGTGTTTATTTGTTTAGTACTCCGTACTTTTTAATTTTAATTTTTTACTTTTTATTATTTTTCATTTTTCATTTTTTTTTGTTTTTTTTGGTTTTTAATTTAAGGTATTTTTTTACATTTTTAATTAAATTTTAATGAGAATTTTATTCTATATTTTAAGTTTAAATAATTTCAATTAAATTACTTTTAAAGAGAAAAAAAGGATGGGCGTGATTCACACCCCTGACCAGTGCCTATACAATACATTTGTATGTGAGGTGTTTTCCGTTCATCCGCATGAATACTCATTTTCAAATAACTAAATATTCATTTTTGAGTAGCTAAATATTTATTTTCGAACATAACTGAATGCTCGTTTTCGAACATAATTGAATTTCAGACATATAATTATTCAGCTATTTGAAAATAAATATTCAATTCCTGAAAAATCAATATTCAATTAATAGAAAACGAGTACTCGTCACGGATGTACAAGAAACATCATAAATGCACTTAAGAGGGTGTTTGACAGTGTATTGCTTTTAATAATTTAGCTTCTGCTTTGAATAGAAGTGATTTTACTGTGTCTGGCATGTCAGTTTCTGCTTTTCATCACCATTATTTTGAACATAAAACACCATTTTAAAAAAAACATGTATGAGATATTTTTTCTTTCTAACTTTTGTGAAAATCACTTTATCAGAATAATGCGTCCCAAACACCCTTCAATATAACCTTTATCTCATTTGAGTGGAAAGATGACACGGAGAAAGAACACGTAAAATACGCGGAGGAAAACTAATCAATTGATTTCTCCCCTTCTTTAAAATCCTTTCAAGCACCTTCTTCTTCTTCTTCTTATAACAATTCTCTGGATCGGCACAAAACTTCTTGCAATTATTCAATTGATTCTCCCTTCAAGTGAAAAAAAAGAATAATTAATGGGGAAAGACAAGCCAGCCGAGAGCGATGAAAAGGGGCTGTTTTCTAATATCGCCGGATTCGCCATGGGCAACGCCGCCCATCACTTCCCGGGACATCACGGCGGCGGCGGCGCTTACCCTCCTCCAGGGTACCCGCCTGCCGGAGTATACCCCCCGGGAGGATATCCTCCTCCTCCTCCTCCTGGTGCTGGGTACCCTCCCGCCGGTTATCCGCCGCCCGGAGCGTATCCTCCCCAGGGTGGACATCATGGTTACCCTCCTGCTGGCTACCCGGGCCCATCAGCTTCACATCACGGTAACCATCTCAATTCTTTCTTTTTTTTTATTATTCACGTGATCAAATTATATCTTTTTTTAATACTCCCATATATAGATTATGATTACTTTCTTTCATCCTTTGATGCCAATTTGTAGCATATTTTGTTTTATAGAACCTTTTCAGGTAGTTTTTAGATACCCGGGTTCAGGTTTCATTTGGTACACGGAATTCAAACTACAGATTTAAGATTGAAGATAACAATTCCAATTTTGCTATTTGGTAGTACAAAAATATGTGGATTTGGAAATGCTAATAAGAATGAATTGGAATTGAAGAATTCAATTTCATAGAATTTCAACTGCCAATTTAATTCCAATTCCGTGTACCATCATCTTTTCATTTTTAGCAAATTTTGTGTGGCCCAACGTCTTTTTCTCTTCTCTTCACTTACAAAAATACAATTTCACTTTTCTTAAATATTGTGCCAAACCCAATTAGAGGCTTTTTAGGAGACGGAGGGAGTAATTTTTAAATTTTTTTTTTACAAACTTGAGTAGTTTATGTATTTGGGCACGGTTCTAGTGCAAGTTTAGTTGACTTTAGGTCAATCAATTTGACCCCAAAGTCAAAACATGTACCCGCAATTGACGTGGGTAGGGAATGAGTTAGGGTCGGGATGAGATGGGAGTTTATCGGTGGGTAAGAATCACTAATTTTACGAACAGAGCTTCCTAGGTGCCCCAATTAGGACAGTGTCCTCCGTTGCCACGGATGTCGCAATGTATATATAGGAGGTGCATTTCTACATTAGTCTCTTGCTTGTGGATGCATGTTTAATGTGCTTTGGTTCTATTCCCCGTCCCAATTTAAATCGTAAGCTTTGGTTTATGATTTTTTACTGAAATTATTTTCAATACAATTTATTTGGCAATTAGAGTAGAAATAAAAATAAAAATTACATATTAAAAAACTACATGAAAAGTTCTATGAAACAAAAGGTCATATTACTATATTATTTTATCAAATGAGTAACAAAAACAATGAATAAAAGTAAATGAAATTTGACCATGTGAATAGTAAACATGCAACTTAATTTGGGATATAGGAAGTAATTTGTTTTTGAGACCAAAGATAGAGGAAGTATTTGCTAGTGTCGGTATGCATGTTTTATGTTTGTGCTCTTGCGTTCTTAATAGTAAAGAGACAACTTAAGTAATTGCTAGTGTCGGTATGTTTCATGTTCGTGTGCTCTTATGTTGTTATTGCGTCTATATTTGAGCTATGTGTCTCTTAGAAATCGTCTTTCTACTTTAAAGTAAGGTTGACTTTCGAGTAGAGGTATCGTCCTCTACTCTGAAGTAAGATTTACTTCGAGTAGAAATATGGTCTCCCGAGACCCTACTTTTTGTGGTATTTTACCGAGTTCAGTGTTTTTGTATATGCTTATGCCATGTTTATTCAATCTATATATATATATGTGTGTGTACAATCCATAACACAGTAGTAAGATTGGGAATTGTGCAATTTAATAACACAGGGCCACATGGATCGAATATGGGATCAATGTTAGCCGGAGGTGCAGCGGCAGCCGCGGCGGTCATGGGAGCTCACGCCCTATCACATGGTCATCACGGGCCACCTCACCATGGCGGCGGTTACTATGGCCAGCACCATGGCGGCGGTTACTACGGCCACCACCATGGCAAAATCAAGCATGGCAAATTCAAGCATGGAAAGATGAAGCATGGCAAGTTTGGAAAGCACAAAGGGATGAAGCTCTTCAAGAAATGGAAGTGATATATTCATATATATATATATATATATATATATATATATATATATATATATATATATATATATATACACTATATATATGTTCTTCCCTGGCTAACAAATTAAACTCTATACATATATGATCTTTGCATGGATGGGAGATACATTGTCCTTTCAATTTCATTTTGGCTTTAGTTCTAATTCCAAAGCTTTTGGAAGAAATGTCTTCCTAGCTACTACTTACTCTGTGCAACAAAATACCCCCTCCCTCGTAAAGTTTCTTGAGTTTATATTAAAAAGTCAAAATAAAGGTAATTAAAATTCGGTTTCTTCAATCGGTTTTTTTGTTATACGGGTGGTTTTTTATTTTGGTTCGGTCGGTTTTAGTTTATGATTGGTTTGGTTTAGTTGATTTTCAACCATCTTAAAAAATCGTTTTTTTCAATTTGAAACTGAAATCGACTGTTGCTCAGCCCTAGTAGCGATGATGGTAGATGATGGCAGGGGTGGAGTGGTTGAAAGAGTTGTAATATATATCATCAAATCTAAATTCTAATGATAGTGTTATTTAGGAGATCGAAACTCTCTCACTTGCGGTCGACAATCAACATTTGGAAGAAAAATATGAAACATTTTTTAATGACAATGTTATTTTTAAAGTTAATATGCACCATAAAAAAGAGCAATGTTAGGTTCACAAATACGGAGTAGAATGGTTACAGATTTCATAAACTTATTATTTATAGTTTATATTCTCATTTTAAATTTATTTGACTACTTATTTTTTATTAGAATTCACAAATAGTAAATTTATGAAATTTGTGATCATTGTCTTTGTGAACTAAACATTCAAATACTCACACTAGGGAGCCATTAATTGTGTTTAAGAAGAGTCTCTAGCTTACTCAACTTGATTTGAGTTTCTTTTTTACTACTCCCTCTATTATCCATAGATCTTTTCATTACGAATTATGATATTTAACCAGTTTGATTTTTAATTCAATTTATTATATTCTATGCGTAAAATTTAAAAATAAAATTTATATATGGAGTAGTAAAAAAGTATATGAAAAGTTTTTAAAACAAAATAAGAAGTTACAAGACTATATTATTGTATGAAATAAATAGTAAAAATAAACAAAGTGACTTATCATTGACTTTGTGAATACTGTTTAAAAAGATCTATGAGAGACGCTGGTAGTATTAGAATATATATAAAAAAATTCCATGCCTATCAATAATTTTGAATTTTCAGTTAAGTTGATTCTTCATTTCTTCACATAATTTCATAAGTTTATTTAGTTGTTAACATGATACTGGACATTATGTAGTTGGCAAAGACAAGAACTCCAATAAGTGTCAAAGAGATAAGACCTGAATTTTATTTCTAGCATACGCACTATGAGACAATTAAGCTAAACATATAGTATTTGCGAATATCAGGTGCAGACTCCACTCTTTTCTACCAATTTGTGATTAACGCTCAATCTATTTCTACTCATATCTTTGTCCGGCCAATTCTAAAAACTCCGTGGGAATAGATCATCCTTTTTTGTTTAGTTGTTATAATGATAGCTATCTTATTCATGACATACTCTCTACAAAATAAAATTTATTTTGACTTCGGTTTTATAGAATATCTCGTTCAACATTTAAAATGGCTGCATCAGGGAGTAATGTTCGAGATGCACCAAATTGGACATTGTCTATTTTGTATCACAAATTTCTTATTCAAGATCTCGCTCTCGTAACCTTTAGATTCTAGAAAAATAATATTGGCCCGCATGGGCAACTCTAATGGTCCGATGAGAGGATGTCAAACTCATAGATACTAAGGTCTAATCTTGGGAGCGATAGTGGCATTCTATTATTTGTAATAGCTCTTTAGGTGCACTGTACACGCGATGATTTCTTTAAAGATCAGATTAAAATTATACCATGATTTACTTTTTCATAATCTTGTATAGATACCCAAATCCTGGGGTGGATGTTCCAACTTTTTTTAAAAAAAATATTGGTATATGGTATAGAGAAAAGACATGTACACTTTGGTCTACAAGCATTTTTGTATCGGATTTGGGGAAGTCGTTGGTCAACTTTTTATTTCTTCCCTCAAATAGTAAAGTTTTCGTTTACTATTTATAATGTCAAGTTTTATTCACTTTGTTGACTTATTTTCGTGTATTATTTGATATTCCCTCTGTTTCCTTATAAATCGTCTGATTTGACTTCTGAGCATATTTAAGGAAAATAAAAAATAGAGCTGATTTTATGAAATTGTCATTAGTTTTTATGAGGGGTGACGATGAATGAGAATACAAGGTGAAAAAGAGTGACTTATTTTAGGATTAGTTTAGATATTTCATTTTTAAAAATTTATAAAAACAAATAACAAACAACTTATTTTGGGACGGAGAAAAAAGGGAACAATTTAAAATGGGAGGGAAGTGAACCGAGCTTGCAGCCATTGCTTTCAGTGAGACCCTCCGAAATGCGGTGTTGTGGGGACACGATTCTGTTTATAATGAACCCAGTGAGTGAGGGAGAGGGGGATGCTTCTCGCGATCCCTTCAACTTTGGGTTTTTAACCTGCTTCCCTCATCCTTTCTCCTCTCCCGTTTTCAATCATCCTCCCCGGATTTTTACATACTTTTGCAGTGTAAGAGAGAAATCAGAGACCCATTTCTAGTTTTCGAAGTTCATGTATAGTTTGAGCCCAAAAAGATTCAATTTTTATCTCTGGGTAATCCTATAATGAGAAAGTTTATGTGCTTTCCCGAGCTTCTGGGAGCAAAATTTGGATTGTCTTATCTGTAAAAGTCACTTATGGTGGGGTGGGGATGGGGTGTAGAATTTTCATTTGAACTCTGGAGGATGAGAAAAGCTTCACAGTGAAGGTGTGATTTTTCCCTTCTTGGATCCCCCCCAAGCTTTACAGTTTGTGGGTTATCTGCGTTAGCTTTGCTCTATAATTATTTGTGTAAAATAACAGATTTTCATGTTCTTGATCTTTGTTATTTGGTTTTGTGATTTTCAAATGAAACTGATGCTTTCTGTTATGACTTATGAGAGCATAATCACTCTGTGCTATTTCTTCAAAGCAATTTGTAGAAAAAAACTGAGAATTTGGTTGTGGGATCACAAGATTGCTGATTTGTGTGGGTAATTATTTATTGGGCACTTTATTATATCTTTTATTTAAGTGAAGAAACTGAGGTAAAATGTGATCTACTTGCATTTTTTTTCACATCAAGAAATGCTTTCACTGTCACTTTCTTCATGTTTTATGCGCCCAAAAAGAATATCTTTAGTCTTTTTTCCTCAGGATCGCATTTTCACTCTCCCTGAATTCCCCCCATATATATACGAGTATATGACCTAATCAAGAATAAATTTTGGATGGTCCTTGGGTGAATGGAATATGTTGCTACAAGCCAAAATTAGCTGTCAGGGCTCAATCAATTTTGTGCCTTCTTTGATGTTCTTGATTCCTGAAAAGTTTTCACCCTTAGGGACCGTTTGGTAAGGATTATTCAGTTTAAATGGCTGAATTTTGCCAAGTTCAGTAACATCAATTTCAGCAGGATATGTAAGCCAATAGTTATGTTTACTCTGTTGAGAGAGAACAAGCAAGAACCGGTGGCTACCAAACAGAGCCTTAATCTTTGTTTATTACGGAGTACTATATTGTTTTTGTTTTGCTGAGATTGTTCATGTCTGAACATTGACAGATAAATATTGCATTTATAGCAAAACACCTTTGCTGCAATTAATGGAGAAGTTGTGACCAAGAATGGATCCTCAGTCTTTCATCAGGTTATCAATAGGATCATTGGGACTGAGAATCCCCAAACTGCCCTCAAACAGTCCGGAATCTCGTCCTTGTTCTTGTGAGATCCGTCTTCGAGGCTTCCCCGTGCAGACAACGTCAGTTCCCTTTTTACCCTCACCCGAAGCTACCCCAGATCCTAACAGCATAGCCTCCAGCTTCTATCTGGAGGACTCCGATGTAAAATCACTCCTCCAACCGGGCTGTTTCCACACGAACCACGCCTGCCTGGAGATAGTTGTCTTTACAGGACACAAAGGTACCCATTGTGGGGTTGCCATTAAGAGGCAGCAAGTTGGTACATTTAGGTTGGAAGTGGGCCCCGAGTGGAGTAAAGGGAAACCTGCCCTTCTCTTCAATGGCTGGATTGGGATTGGCAAGAACAAGCCGGGTGCCAGTGGCAAACCTGGGGTCGAGCTTCATCTACGGGTGAAGCTTGATCCCGATCCCAGATATGTTTTCCAGTTTGAGGAAAAGACTAAACTTAGCCCTCAGATTGTTCAGCTTCAAGGGACCATCAAACAACCCATTTTCAGCTGCAAGTTCAGTCAAGATAGGTAATTCACTGCATCTTTATCTTTTTTTATGTCAACAAATTTGTTCTGAATCTATTGTAAGTTTGAGTTTTTAGTTAGGTTCGGACAAAAACAAATCTTTTCTGTCCGTGATTATAAAACCTTTTCTGAGCCATCAACCAAAAGGTTGAGCTTTTAGATGATTTTGTTCTTTGACAGCATTGAAGTTTGATCATTGTGCATATTTATTGTGATGCATTTTATCTTCTTTAATGTTTTGCACATGCATAGCTAAGGTTAGAACAGAAACTCATGTTTTCTGAGCATTGTACATTAGTCATATGAAAATGATCCTGGTTGTCTTGAAATGACAGGGTCCCACAGGTGGATCCATTGAGCAACTTTTCATCAGGCTTTCCTCATGGCTCAAACCTTGAAATGGAAAGAAGGGAGAGGAAAGGCTGGAAGGTGAAGATACATGATCTCTCCGGCTCTGCAGTAGCCGCCGCCTTTATAACAACTCCCTTCGTGCCGTCAACGGGTCGGGATTGGGTCGACCGGTCCAATCCCGGAGCTTGGTTGATCGTGCGGCCCGACCCATTCACGCCTGACAGTTGGCAACCGTGGGGGAAACTCGAGGCTTGGCGAGAACGCGGCGGGATCAAAGATTCCGTCTGCTGCCGCTTCCACCTCGTCTCCGAGGAAGGAGGCGGCGGCAGCGGGGTTCTCATGTCAGAGATACTCGTCGGCGCCGAGAAGGGCATGGAGTTTTGCATAGACACCGAGAAACGGGTTCCAAAAGCGGGCGGTGGCAGCAGCGGCGATATGTCGGTTCCAGGTGGTTTCGTGATGAGGTGTAGGGTGCAACCGGAGGGGAAATGCCGGAAGCTTCTGGTGCAGCTAGCGATGCGGCACGTGACTTGTGTGGAGGATGCCGCCATCTTCATGGCACTCGCGGCGGCCGTTGATCTCAGCGTGGAGGCATGCAGGCCGTTCCGCAGTCGGAGGCTCGGGAGGGGCCCGCGCCGGCATTCATGGTGACATATGTCTTCTTGTTGAAGTAGCACACTTTGAGTGTTCATCTGTTTCTATCAACTGGCCAATGGAGGCACTGATCTGATATGTGTATTATCTTTGATGGTTGTAATAACTACTGTGTCCTCATGTATAGAAACAGCAGTTTGGTTTTTGTTGGTGAAATCCATTTGCATTCTTACATTGTCACATGAGGGAGTAAATTACGATATAATCTTAGGGTGCTGACCAAACGAGCCCTTAGAGTGTTATACTTAAAAGTCATAATATGAACAATATAATAAGTGTTGACTTTAACAAGTGAGACAAGTGTATCAAAATTATAGTGACAATTAAGAGAAAATCTGCAAAACACTAAAGGACAAATCTCAAATTACATAATGTCAAACAATTAGGTAACTCAAAGCCTTTCTTTTTCATGAATACATTCATTTCACATGACATGGTCAGTTTGAACACAAATGAGAACAATCCAATAATTGAGATCATCATCAACATTTCAGCATCATATTCTCAAGTGGCATTAAAACTAGTGCCAATTAATTGTTCAAAATTAACACTAAACTTAGACCACCATATGGGATACAATTTTGGTCATGGCACAAAAACATTTCGGACAATGTACAACCGTCTGTGTAACGGTCTTCCTCTCGCATGACCATATATAATAATAGGTCGTGCTACAACCACACCATGAATGACACCAAGGTTGAAATCGTCAATGGGTCAACAATTGGCTATTTGTGCATAATTCTCTGTGATGGTGTCAACTTTGGTGTCATATCTAGAGGAGATAATTTAGCTATTTTCAATAATAACACATCTACCTATCTACATTGGTTTTTCTAGAAAGGTGATGATGATACAACAACATCAAGGTTCATTCATTCATTCAAACTGGAAAATACTCCTAGTATTTTCTTTCCCATTTCCCTTCACGCCTCCCGTCGCGTTCTCGTCGTTCCATGATCTGTCTACTAGGTTTGCCCGCGCCACTCCCTCCTCTCGAAGATCCTCCGTGCTTTTGGGAGGGTGCGAAATTCGTAGGCGTGGCCCCATCAAGTGACATGGATGCCATGTCAGCATCGCCGCCAATGCTCGCCATGTCGCCCGAATCCCTGCTCCCTTCAAAGTTGTCGTCGTAACTGTTGCCACCTTCATCTGATCTGTCGCGCGATTGGGTAACGGTTGGTTGTTGGGTTGAGATTGGTCTGGGTCCCATTGTCTCGGCGTTGGATTTCAACAAGGTCCCTTCACTAGCCCCTCTGCCACTCTCTCTTTCCCTATATCTTTCCCGGGGCCTACACAAGACTAATCAGTCACAATGACTTTACATGTCCTTTTTGGTGTGTGTGAGTTACCATCAAGCAGTAATTTTAACACTTGTTATATAAAGGTAAATAAGGGTCCGTTTGGGAAGGAGGGAAATGACATCTGAAAGTTACCACGTTTTAAGATGGAAATTTACCACGTTTCATTATGTCAGAACAACAAAAACTAGTCTTTTTTTTTCATTTTTCAAACTTTCAACCAAACACCAGAAAAAGAATTTATTTTCATCTTTCCAAACCGATCCTAAAGGACTAATAAACTGAGCAGTGAGCACTTGCCTACTGTGTGAGGATGAAAGTTCTCGTCTTGACGGTCGGAGACCAGATTCTACTTGCTCAAGTTCCTTCTGCAGCTCTCTCTGCATATCAGTAAAATATGACTTTAGGCTCTATGTGTTTATACTTCCTGAATTTGGTACATTATAATGTTTTTTCCCTGGAAAGATTTTCCTGTGTTTGGCACATGAAAATATTTCCTATCAAGGAAAGTTCCTCTTTAATCTATAGACTTTTGCGAATAGCTTGTCTTATTCTTTTTATGGTTTCTAATTTCTTTTTACCTGCAATTGCTTTTCTTTCTCCACGTCAAGATCGTGCTTTAACTCCCTGGTTTTAGCACGTTCGAGTTCCAGCAACCGCTGTCTCTCTATCTCTCTTTCTGCTTCTGCAGTCCTCTCTCTGACACATTTAAGAAACAACATCAACACAAATTGCAATCGAAGTTCTCTAAGGCTAAGTTTGGATTTTGGAACCCGCAAAATGGTAGGGAAAGAGAAATATCTTTAAGATTTTACATGTATTCATATTTCTTAGTCTATACTCTTTATGTGTAGGTAGAAAATGAATAAAGCATTGAAGAGAAAACCTATCCAACTCTTGAAGGAGTTGTGCTTCTCGTATGGCTGCCTCTTCCAAATATGATTCACGGGCACGCCTAGCAAGTATCTTCCTTTGCCTGCGTGCTCCTATCTGTTCTCTGAGTTGTGCCTTCTCCCTGAAAATAACAAAGATCATTGAAATAGATTTGACCACCAAATCCTAATGAAATAGTTGTAGTTCACTTCATCCCCTTGCAGGGTGAAAGTGGCATCTTATGCAGAAAAAAAATAGGTATACAATAACATCCATACATGGATCTTATTCCATCTTTGATTTTCTGCAAACGGTCATCATCCTTTGCATACTCTGTGTAAGAAATTTGAGGCAAGAGAGTATCAGCATAATAGAGATTTTCACATTAGAGTTTATAAGAGAAGGCATTTATTAATGAGGCTAGATCTTTGGCACCCAACCCCGGTGTCATAATATGGCACCAAGTCCATTTAAGGGCCCTACGGTGCTCCGTTCCACTCTGAAGTAGTTCCTACCCCCAACCCCAAACCCCCTTTGGCAACGAATTGCCACCCAAATTGGTGTCATAATTATTATGACACATAGGTTGGGTGCCAAAATAACCCCCTTGTTTACAAATAAGTTCTTGCATGTTTGGTTTTCAGTTATAAAACAATATACAATATAAAACATAAAACGATTTTACCTCTGCCCCCAAAATGACAAAATTTGAGCTTTTGTAAGTAGATGTAAAATAGATTTTACTTCTCCTAAAACTGTTTTTTTAAAACATGCCAAACATTCAATTAATAGAAGCATACTAAATAAGTGATTTTGAGTTAACGTGTCACAACACTAATTAACTAATGGAGGAGATCACCTGCTATCAGAGGAAGTGGAGGTTGATCTTTGAAATCATTGGCTAACTTCTGCAAAGCACTTTCTTTTTGAAGAAGCTCCATTTCTATCTCAGCTTCCTCTAACTCCTGAAATTAAAATTTAGGTCACTGATTGAGTGAGAAAATAGACACTACACCCAAACGTTTAGAAGGGGAAAAAACTTACCTGAACCTTGTGGTCATGTTCCTTGGAGAAAAAATCTAAGTACGACCGGACAGAAGTTAGATTTGTAACAACCTGCAAGAAGTTTGCAAGTAATTTGGTGTATATAAATAGATAAAATAAGAAATTTTTTTATTGGTTATAAGAAAAACAAAGAATGATAAAAAAAATTAGAAGCAGTCTTTTTTTTGGTATACCATCCATACATTTTAAAAGTATACTACTCCCTCCGTCCTATAATGATCTTCCCAGAGCACTATTCCAACTTCACGGGAATTTATATTTATTTGTGTTTTTTCATGGCCTATATGATAAAATAAAATATTCTTGTCACCACTTGTTTTGTTGAACTTTTGATGTAGTTTTTAAATATGTATGTTTTCTTTTTTATTTCTATACCAATATTTAAATAAAATAGATTGAAAAAACTTGGGATTTTTCTTCGTTTTGCGAACCGGGAAGATCATTATAGGACGGAGGGAGTATATTATTGTTACTGTGTTAGAACTAAGACTTGAGCTGACATAACTCATTCTCAAACTGGTAGGGTAAACTCTGTACCTGAAGAATTGTTTCGCGTGTACTTACAAATGCTGGGTCCACTTGTTTCGGAGAACATGAATAGAGAGCATCCGTCAAGACCTTTCACACATGACCCGGGAATGTCAAAAATATTTTTCAAAAAAAACCACAATATTTAAAATGTAAACAGGAAGAGAAATGGAAACAGATTTTGTCATTGACATATCACATGCAATCCATGCATCATAGACAGTTTCCTTTATAAAATCGCACTGCATACCTTTTTGGCCTCGTCCCCTTCTTTTCTCATCCTACATAAAGCTTGGCATACCCTTTTCTCGGGACCCATGCGCATTTTTTCTACAAATAACATAAGTAACGCATAAAGACAAACATGCTGAAACAATTCCAATTGCATTGTAGTAACTAGTAACTCTTAAGATAGTTAAAAGAATGTTAAACAAACAATATACCATTTCCAGCAAGTGTAAATTTTTCAATGCCTTGCCACAGATTTTGAGGAATCAAAGAAATATCTTCGGCTGGTGAGTATAGGCAAACACAGGCAATAAGTGCAATAGAGAGTTGTGTTAATGGGCCTTCACACATGGGCTGAGTGAGTTTCGTCAAACACTGAAGGATTTGGTCAGCCGCAGCAAGAAAACCTTGCAGTTTGGGTCTTTCAACAAATGGGACATACTTCACAAGAAGTGCAATTGCATGGATTCTCAATGGTAGTGATGCATCAGAAGAAGCCAGCAAAGCCACTTGATCCCAAGTGCTTGACACCAGAGCAGAAGGTACAACAGGCTCTGATGGAAATGCTTTATCATCAATTAAAGTTGGCAATAAGAAATCAGATCCGCCACTTCCATTTAGACTCACAAGTTTTCCCAGTTGTTTAAGCCCAATGAAGCGCTGTTCTGGCTCTGGATGGCTAAGAACTGAACAGAAGAGATCAATCAGAGCTTCACCTTCTTGGATGCCTCTCGCAAAAAGTGATGTCACCCACTTATCTGTTTGTAGACGCCAAGCAATTGTGGGTGCCTCTTGTGAAAATGTTTTTATTGCAGCGCATATATTATTGACCGAGCTGTGCATGTCAAAGATCTGAGGCACGTGAAATAGACAGTCAAGGATCACTGATGCAACCTCCCAGCAATGGCTTTTCAGAAGCAATATAACCATTTCAGAAAGTCCTTCAAGACTGATTGTCCAATGATTAGGAAATCCAGTACAAGAGGTTGAGTTGGGCAGTATTTGCATCTCAGCTCCTCCGGAAACAGAAACTTGTTCAGCAACATAAGCCAAGCATTTTAAATACAAGAAACATTCTGCACAAACTAGTGTGAGATTCTTGGCGAGTTTAGGATGAATTCTGTAACATTGCTCAACGTTCTGACACAGCTTGAAGATAAGGGTACCTAGACTCTTGGTGAAGATATCAATTTCCTCAATATTTAGAAGGCGTTTGTCATTCACGACACAGTCATTAGTGCTACTTTGGTTCAGCTCAACTGAAATGTCATGCACCTCTTCAAGAAAACATGAGAATTCAGATCTATCATCATTTTTTGCAGCCATGTCCATGTCAGAAAATTGAGAGATCTTGCATGGAATGATACCCCAAAGTCTTAGCAGCTCAACCATCAAAACCTTGCAACGTTGCATGAGAGCCTCATATGCACGAAGATAATCATGAAAAAACATTGTTTGCTCTGAAGCAGCAAATTCTGCAGATGGGAGAGAAGCGTTTAAGAATTCTATTTTGCAACTGGAAGAAATATCAGGGAACACTGATGCCAAGACAAAAATAGTCAGTGCTCTGCAACGCCCACTTGAATTGCTTTCATTCTCAGTTCTGATGGCACCGAGGAGTTCATCGAAGCATAATGACTCGAAATTAAGGCACAAACCATCTGTAGTCATTAAACTCACCTCATCAGATGCCTTTTGCAAGGAATATGAAATGATTGGCCTGAGCAAAAGTAACACAGAATCTAGAAATTGAACATCACAATATGAAGACTTGCACAAGGACACCAGCACTTGTACAACCCTTGGTACCTCCGGTGCTATTGCTTCCAAATGTTCAGCTACAATGGCTTCAAGAACATACAGAATTATGGCTTTTGCATTTTTTGCCACAAACCCTCTCACAAAATCCTTTTGACAGGAAAGTTGGTCCTTCGGGTACTGAATGAAGGGCTCAGAACAGAACGTAGAGAACCAACAAATCAAATCTGGAACAGTTGATGGAGGAAGCAATCTCAGTTGCAACGCAACAGCTTTCAGTATAGATTCCCCAAAAGTTTCAAACTGTTTTCTCAAATTGGGGAAGAAATGGCTAACATCAGGGTATATGATGTGGAAGGAACTATGTGAACCACATGCAGCCAACTTCATGTTACTTGAATCCTGCTTAAGACCAGATTCATCAGTTTTTTTGTTCTCATCTCTATATTCAGATATATCGTCAACTGTAGCAAGCTCATCCGAAAAAATTGAAAGCAAACATGCTAATTGCTCCATATCTGAAACAAGAAAGAGTCTATCCTTCCGAAATTGTATAGCATTGCAAGAGATTGCCATCCAACCAATGAATCGGGATAATGGAGAAACAGAAGTAGAGAATGTGGGTATTTTCTCAAGCCATGCTGAAGGAGGGATCAGATTTGCAAACTGAAAACAACTCTTAACATTGACTGAAAGCTCCAACCCTTCAGCACAACTACTAGATGCAATCACTAATCTCTGAAGAAGCATCCACAAACGTTGGCCTAGGTGTAGCTTCCAATCATCTGACTTTGTATTTCCCTCTTTAAGTTGGCAATAGAAAGATGTCAGCTGTGTGTTTAAATGCTCAGCAGACTTCAATATTATCTCAATAATGTCTGTCGGTGAACAGGATAACTTAGTTCCCGACTGCAAAAGAAACAATAGAGTTTGCAAGAGTACCTCATGTTTGAGGTAATCGTCTCTTTGCAAACGTTGAACAACAAACTTGAAAAGAAGTGCTTGATTTTTTCGAAGTAAAGTAATGGCATCTTCTGCTTGAGTATCTTTCTGAGACAACCTTAAGACTTCATTTTCTTCTTCATCATCACAGTTTTGTTGACCCCTGTCTAATTCAGCAGCTTGAAGCATAATTTCAAGAACAAGTTTGTCCCTTTTCCTTTCAAGATAGATTAATGTTTTCAAGTCATTTTTGTTTTCTTCAAACTCTATGTTAAGATCGGAAAATCCACAATACCCGCTAGCGTTGTCGCTTCTCCTTTTGTTGCTCCTAACTTTTGGAGTGTCCTTGAAGGACATCATGAAATAGGGATTCACATGGCATTCTGCGGATAAAAGAAGGGCATCTATAGCAGCATCATGACTTTCAGGATTCGGTTTCTCAGTCTGAGAATGCAAGTACATAGCTAAGCGCCTATACTCAGAAGATCTCAGCTGACAATCTCGATAATTCATGAGTTGTATATAGTCAGCTTGCAAATCATGACATTCAATAGTGTTGTTTGCTCCAGGTACTGCATGAGGGAAGTGGTAACCTAGATCTTTCTCAGTTTTTGTCTTGGCATCACTACCGCTTGAATCTGAGGACACTCTTTGAGGGCTCCCAGAAGCTGTGATAACTGACATTCTGTTAATTTCAGGCGGACAAAATAGAAGGCTCACATCATCAGGAAGATCCATCTTTGAGGACATATCAGAGCCAGTCCTTACATCTGTCCTGTCTTGGGTTATAGGCAATGAAGTGACACCGCCATTGCATATACCAGTAGAAGAATCAGGTGCTATAGACGATTCTGAATCTGCCAGACCAGAAACAGAAACCTGCCGAAGGTCGACATCTGGAGGTAATTGAATGTGAGGCTCCAGAACTGAGAGTAGTACACTGAAAATACATTGATTCAGAACAAGCATATAGGCTTGTTAGCAGAAATTTAGTCATATGACCCATATTGATACATCAATCATAAATGAACAGAATCAGCACTCCAACATTAGAACATCAACCTAGTGGTGTTCATTCCTGTACAGAAAAAAGGAGGAAACCTTTCATGGATACATTGGTACCAATGTTACTCCAGTCTATTCACCTTCGCTAACTGTCATGCATGCATGTATGTATGTATGTACATGTGTGTGTGTGTGTGTATAAAAGCAACAGATTTTCAATTACTCTAAATTAAAGTTAGGTGTTAATATTGTTACTATACATCATTTTGAGAGCTTTGTACAATACTATTGAGTATCATCAATGAACAATCAATATCATAAATCTAAGGGATGGGTGAAGATCACATCTCAAAACTTGATCAGTAAAAAAGCATAAAATTGAAATCATTTTAACTAACATTGGTGACATTTAAAGCAACATTCGCCTGGCTGAACAGCATGCACATTGTTTCATTGAAATCATCAACAGATAAATATAGGAATAAATTATATGGTGGATATTTGAGAAAAAGCAGAATGCATTTTTCCATTACCTGGGAGAAACAGATCCCCGTCTCCACTCAGATTCTAAAGATAAAAGCAAAGCAGGCTTTCGTACAGCTGTGCGTATCACATTCAGTGCAAGAGCACAGAAGTGCGTTTGGTTTTCAAGAAAACCAGAAGGTATGTTGCCAAAAGAAATTGCACTTTGTAGAGGGGTAATGGCTGGATCAAGATAAGGGTCAAGCATCTCGATCAAAAACAGAATTCGGTGCTTGACATCCTAAAAATAAAATTTTGGATTACAAAACAAGTGGGGCATTAGCAGCTAACAACTTCAGTTAAGTTTCAGAAATCAGAAATAGAAACTCAAGTTTCATGTAATAGCTTGCCTTATATTTTGACAAAACTTCATCCATGTGCCCAGATAATGCCAACACAATGTATTTGAGGGCTGCCCGTGCTTGAGCAAATGAATGGTGGGCACCCTGATGCAGCCACATCATTGAATAAATTAATTCACTAATTACTTACCGTAAAAACAATGAACTTTGAAATGTGAGACCCGTCAATCATATGCAAATTTAAGGTTGTGTGCAAAATAATCTAAGTTCATTAAGAAGTGGAGGAAAATACAGAAGCTCTACCTACCTGAATTACAGCTAAGAGGTCCTCCAAAAGCTCAATAGTTAGGTCAATCTGACCAAGAGGAAAGCAAAAATATTTCACCAAGTGACCCCAAAAATTATGATAATAGTAATAATTAAATAAAATCATTGCAGCAGAAGTAAAATGATAAAGATTTATAAAACCTTTGCAATCACTAGAGTCATCCAGGGTGCTAGCACACCTGAACACATATCAATGAGGACACATGCTGCTTTTGCCTGTACAAAGCTTCAGGTAAGCATTCGCTGGCAGATGAGCCAATATGAAATCAGATATTAGAGGCCAATGAACATAAAAAACAAACACACACTTTCATCACTTTTATGTGCTTCACAGGTTGGTATCATACTTTACCTTTCCATTCTATTACAAAAAACGTGGCACACCACAATTAACAAAAAGTGTGCATAACTAAATAAAATAGAAGTCTGGATAAAATAAAGAGGCAAGACTATAAAGGCAATGATATAACTGACATGTGTTGGTGAAAATGAGGATAAGTAACCCGCACACGCATGAAGAAGAGGGCGATAAGCTGAAGAGGAAGAAGTGCCAACTATCTGTAGTATTGAAAGAATGGTGAGAAATAAATGCCATGAAACAAAACAATAGGCACATAATAAAAATGGAAATTGCATCTCAACCTGAGATAGGGCTTGCTGTACAAAAGGCATTTTCCACTGGGAGAAACTGTCATCAACTTGATCAGGGAAGTTTACAATGGGACGCAACGCTAACATACACCCGAATAAATACAAATACAAAATAATGAACAGAATTATAGTTCAGAATTCTAAACACTAAGCATCCACTTTTCTATAAGTATTTAGTATACAGCTTACATAATAATAATTTCATGAAAATGAGTTGAGACATGAGTGTTAATGTAAAATCAAGATGCATATTATGAAACACTACCAGGAAAGCAAACTTCTAGATGTGTAAATAAAACTCCTTGTCCCTTTTAATGTTCTAGGTTTGACTTGGCATGGAATTTAAGAAACAAAAAATTGTATGGTTGAGATCTGTGTAGAAATGGAAGAATATGCAACCCGCATTCTTTACTTAAAAGTAGGTGCGGCCCAAAAAAAAGGGAAGATAAAAAGGGTAGAGATGAGTATTACAGATCATTACACCTGATTTGATACATTAGAACTTCTCCCTCACCATCGCCTCAACCAATAAAGTGGTGGTAAATGAGGATTTGAGTGTGCGATACGGGTGATAAGCAATGACAGCAGAAAGGAAAAAGTTTATAAACTACCAACCTGGAAGCAGTGCTTGCACTAGTGGCAATGCTGACCAAAAGTTAGAAGAATCATCTGCAAAATTGGTGCAAAGCAGAGGCTGCAGAAGTGACATATATGTGTTATTTCATGTAAATGTATCTTAAAACTAAGGAATAAGTGTTGAGGAAAAAAGATTGGTTGGTTTGTACTTGAAAAATACAAAGGAAAATCAAGCGTGATTAAAAGTTATAAAGATTTTTCATGTACTTAATTACTTTTATTGATTATTATTTACAAAGTACTTCGTATATAATAGAAATATGAGCCCGGTTCTTTTGACACCAACACTTGGTGTCATAATATGACACTGAGCCATTTGGAGTCCGTATAGTGCTCTGTTGGGCCCGGGACAGGATCCTACCCCCAAACCACCCTACAAACTCCCCACGCACTTCAATGAAAAGCTACAGTTTTGGAAAAATGCGGAGGCTGGGGATTCGTGGGGGTAGGACCCAATCCAGGGCCCAACGGCGCACCAATAAGGCCTAGGTTTCAAATTATGACACCAAAACCCAGTGTCAAAAAACTGAGTATAAATTTATACAAAATGATCATGAAGTCTTGAACAAATATCTAAAAATGATTTATTGATTTTAAACCATATTTGTATTATCCCCCCAATTTTCTTTCCTTTGATATCTCTCCTCTATATCCCTCCCTATTTTGTTTCCTTAGTATTTCTTAGGTTCCAAACATATCCTTAATGTTTTATGAAGCATTGTTTCACACTTGACCTGTGATGCACACGCATAAAGAACATGCAAAATCCCTTCTTCCACCAGTGCAATATCTAACAGAGCTACAAGATTGGAGTCTCGATGCTCAGGTGACCGGAATTCATCCCCAAGTATGTCAGAGTAATCAATAAAAGAAGCAGGATGGGAAATATCTGTTATTTTTCCTTCATCAGGCAGAGAAGACCGGTTGTCTGAAGGTGGGGATGCTCCTGCCATGCTATTATGGTCCATAAACTTCAGTAAAATTTGAGAAGCCTGAAGTGAAATAAGAAATTGGCAACTAAATGAAGGCAGCTCTCCGTGCTAGATCTTCATTTCAGTAGGCTCACACTTTTTTCATGTGCAAGTAGAACAAAATACTTAAACTAAGTATATAACTGAATATGAAGTAAAGACGGATATAAATTCATGTTACCACTCTGCAAATACGTCCCAAGTGATAATCCTTATGTGCCTTTCTCAGCAGCGTGAAGATTGCATCTGGACGGAATGCTAAGTTACTAGATGTGGATAAGATCAAGGGAGAAGTGCTGCGTGATCTTCTTGGCTGCAACAGGGAAAGTGTGGAATACAATTAAGCATCTATCATAGCATTAGCAAACAAGAGAAATTAAGCAAGTAAATAGAGAAACAATGATTATATGAATATGTAACAGCAGAAGCAAGAGAGTTAGGGCCCAGTTTTGTTCGCCCTGGTATCAGCATTAGGTATGGGTATGTGAACCCCATAGCCCTACCACTTGTTCGGTTACCCAAACCCATTCCCTCAACTTCAACCCTCTCCGGTATGGAAATAATTCCCTCACCTTTTAACTGGGCGCTGGCGGCGAAGGCAACGGATATGAGGATAGGGGAAACCAAACCAAAAACTGGATATCATCTATCATACCTTCTAAACACCATTTTTGACTACAAACTCATACCAAAAATTCAGGAAGCAAACCAAGTGGATCCTAAGAGTTCTAATTCTGAGACAATTTGAGGGGAGCGGTTTTTAAGGGAACAGTAACACAAGGAGCCATAAGCCCATAAGTATACATACTTCAAAATTAGATGAAACGGTCAAAGCCATTGGCATTGGATTATTCCTAGAAGTTTCGGGTTCTGAAGTGTTGCCAGCCAACCTTGTTGCTTCTCTGCAATGGAATGTTAAGATTAGGAATCACAATTACGTTATATTAATGGGTCCTTTTTTTAATGGATGAAGGAAAACATAGAACGGAATAACTCAATTGCTGAAAGGGAGTTCCAACACTATCTTTATATAAAAAAATTGTGTCACTATGGCAGAGCATTTAAAGATTTTCGGTGCATTGGAAATGGAATAAGAGAACCATTTTCTCCTTTACTGGAAGGTTTTACTCTTGGAGAAAAAAATAGTAACTATAACTAAAAATTGTTTGAGTAAAATAATATTATTAATACATACCAACCTTTCCTTTACAACAAATAGAATCGGATAAAATTGACCAGCAAGCATGGCTAGGAATCGAATGCCATGCTCTGATGCTTCTGAAAAGCCACTAAGATCAGCCTGCAGAGAGTCAACTGAAGCTTTAAATAGCATTCAGAGTATTTAAACAAAATTTGAGATTGTAAAAGACATCTTGTATTTCTAGAATCCATGTTTGAAGCTATACCTCTAGTTGTACAAGGAATGGGGCCAGCCGCGTTGTAATGTCTTGAAGCAACTACAAGTCCATAGTTGGGCGGAAACACAAAAAGATACTCCACGGTAAAATAGCATTCATAAATATGTGTGTGTGCGCGCACACAAGTGCTCAAAAAAGAGTTTTTGCCAGTTTTAGTCCCAAACTAGTGTCATTTTCACTTGTTGGCATTTGGTATTTTTTCACTTCTAGTGCACGAGGTAAATATGTCCATTATGCATCCCATTGACCATTTCATCTTCCAACTTTATTTTAACCCAAAAAAGAACATTTATAACTTATTTTTATAATTGAGCTTATTAATAAGAGTATATCTTTGAAATGACCACACTTCAGCCAAACCTTCTCCATTGTTTTTTCTCAAATTTTGTCTACTAGCGTATTTCTGATGCATATGGGACCCTTATTGATTTTTGTTTTGGAACAACCCCATGAGTATACTCAAACCCAGCTGTATGTCTTGGAAGAGAACTTGATTATATAAAAAGAGAGAGCTGGTATGAGCTCGTTGCTATACTAAATTTTAATGATCAGTGAAGCCTTCGAGCATTTAGATAAGTTTATGGTTTCTGGATAACTAAAACTAGAAAATGTATCTAAAAGACAAAAATACCCCTGAGAAGTGCCACATGCCTAGGATTTACCCATGTTACCACAAATGCAACTACTACAAATCCAGTATAATCCCAACTCGATTGGGATGTGGGGGTCAAGATATAGGCAGTTTTACCCGAATGCAGTGGTTGTTTCCACTAGACTCAATGTATTGCTGCATCTACTGCCCAAAACTTAAGAGAAAGTAAGAAGCAAAAGAAGTTAATTGTATCATCTTGATTTATTCCATTATGAACCCAAAGCTAAAACATTGTAAAAAAATGACTCTTTTAGCTCTATTAGGAATGGATGCCAAAGTGGCAAAATTTTCAAACTCTTGCACTGATATTGGAAAAAGATGACAGTCAACAAAAATGCGGAGAACTGAAAGAGGCAAAAAGTCTACACACCTAAATTGCAAGAAAGAAGCATATGCATTGAACAAAAATAGTAATTTGGTTGTACAACTAACAGTAATAGTGCCCACCTGAAGATGCAAATTGGAAGTGTCCTGTTTGTTAGATACTATGTGTGGCAGCAGGTAGTCTACAACCGGTTGGAACTCAGGTTCAAGCCCAGTAAGAGAAATGCCCATCAGCTGTAACACATGAAATAAACATGAAGAGGATATAACTGTATTACACTTTTCAGAGCTCGTTGAATGCTCTGATCAACTCTTCACAGCTAGTTAAATACTCCTTACGTCCCAATTTATTTGTTGTAATCACTCTTTCCACATGTATTTAAAATGAAATGATACAGGACAAGTTTCGTTTTGTAAACCACAACCAAATAAACTTTCCAATTTTACCCTCTAAAAGGTGATACTCCATTCTTAAAATGAGCGAATGATTCTATGTGATAAATCATAAAAGGGTAAATTGGAAAAGGAATTTTTTACTGAAATTTAACAAAGGAAAGAGAACATTACTCTGGGACCAACAAATAAAGGATGGGAGCTTATAAATGGGACTGGAGAGAGTAATGATTTATGGCCACAGATTAGTTAACGGAACATAAAACCCAAAAATAAGAGCTAATAAGAGAAATTTACTATTATTCCAAACTAAAGCACACGCTAGCTTAAGTGTAACCTGAATGAAGAAAATCGCTATAGGGGAACCCCTCAAACAAGATATTCGAATATAACGACAAGGAGTGTAGTTCATAGGGTACATCATGTCTCGACGAGGTGCTTCACAACGTGGTCTAACTTTCATAAAAGTATCTGGCTGCCAAAGAAAAAAATGAATAGACATAAGGACATTTTCATAGTGATACACTAAAAAAGCTTGTTGGTTCGGATTCTTAGTGAGGCAATATGTTTCTAAAATGAGAGTTGTTATAAACATATAAACACCCACACGGTTATTGCCTTGAGGTGGGACAACCCCAGGTGGAAAAAAAACACTAGGAAGACTTCTTCAAAGTTAACTGATTTATATAAACATCTTATGCAGCTCTCTGTAGACCGCCTTCAATAATAAAATGGAAAATATAACCAAAAAAAGAAAAAACCTTGAAGCGCAAACCAACTGATATTTCCCATTCCAGCACTGATTTATTATATATCCTTATATGCGAAAGCAGACAAGGTTCCTGCAGTGAAGAAGGCATTGAGATAAAATAGACGTTCTTGGATGTTTCTATTTTCAAAATAATTGTCAGCTAAAAAAGTCATCGGAACATAAAGAAATGTAGTAGTCACTTCCATGTCAAAACTACCATCAATGCTAAAGGAGAAAATCACAAATGCAAAATAGTTCACCAGTCAATATGAGATACACACAATTTAAAAAAATTATATATGGCTAAAAAGGAAAAAAGATCAGAGAGTGAAATTTGTTTTTCCTTCTTTGACCCCAATATTAGTTTACTTAGAGCCAATAACTTCATGACTAATCAACAAGAAGCCAAAATTCCCATAAAATGCATCTCATTTCTTTTTTTCCTAAAACAATCCAACCTGCCTAATTTCAACTTGCAAAGAACACAATTAGTTCATAGATAATAATAAAAATTGAACTGTTGGGGGTAAAATGATGAATGGTGGAAAAAGCGAGGGAGAAATATAAATACATCTAGCTCAAGCAAGATCCACTCTTTGGTGTTGGTGCCGGTGGACCAGTGGTTCCGGAGGTCTGGGTCAAGCAGGTGAGAGGCTTTCTGAGCGGGAGATTCTCGAGACATGGCTTTCACTTTGAAGGGCAAAGGCTTCACCCTCGGCTCTAACTCCAACTCCATCTCCTTCCTTGGCTTCGTCTACTGTGCAAGATGAATGTGTGACTGGGTTTCTTTCTTTCTTTCTTTCTTTCAAGAAAGGTATTAAGAACAGTAGAGTGGCAGCAAAACCTGAGGATTCGGATTTCAGATATGGCCGCCTAGAACAATTACTGTGTCCCCACCCACCCAACGGAGAGATGTGTAATATACTTCCTTGCAAAATAAAAACTACGGAGTACAACTTACTATATAAAATTTTACGATTTTTAAAATAATTTATTTATAAATTGGTATACTAATAAAAAACAAAAATTATATATTAAAATACTACGGAGTACATCCAAAATTCTAAAAAATAAGAAGTGATAGAATATTTTATTTTATCAATACAATATTAAAAAGATAGTTGCAAAGGCTTTATGCTAGCACAATTGATAGAAATCAAACTCGAATCGACTTGCCTTTATCAGCTCACAGCACCCACTGGATAGTTGAGCCATTTGAGTTTCTAGCATGTGATGTCGTTTGGGTAGACATTTGAGGTACAATGCTAGAAAATGGCAAAGCTTTTGAGTAATGGAAGAGTCCATATGATGGGTGAATTCTCTTGACATTGGAACCTATGTCTTGATGAAATGGGTTCCAATAGGAAGTCTATGATACCCCGTTCGAAAAAATCACAACTTTTGTCTGTAATTCATGATAAATCTCTCTCCGATCTGACCGAACCCCTAATTTTTTAAACGAGACAGCGTAGAGCCTTCAATTGGAAACCATGTATTAGGATGACATTTTTAGGTTCAACGTCAATTAAAACCTTGCCTTCATGTGATATATCCCTTTAGTAATCTTTGGACAATACAAAATTCATAAGTTATACTTCCTCCGTCCCACTTTAGATTACAATATTCCCTTTTTGTAGAAATTAAGGAAAAGTCAAATCAAATTTTTTTCCTCCAAATTACTCCCAAATCCCCCAAGTATCCTTCTCACTCACATGAATGAATAGTGTGTGAATAGTGTAGGAGTGGAGGGTAAAATAGTCAATTCCTTGTAAAGTTATTGACTTTGTAATTCTTTTTGGGACAAAAATGTGAGTGAATATTGTAATCTATTTCGGGACGGAGGGAGTACCTAAGATAACCACCTCTACCCATCATATCTACCCATCATATATCTTTATACAAAATTCATAAATTAGATTTTGGATATAAAAAATTGTGGTGGAGGAGCGGCCGAGTACAACTTGGGTGCAAATTTATTGTATCCTACACATTTATGATTTTCCTCTCACGTATTTTAAATTTACTATCTATTATGACAGAACTTGATAGAGTTTGGTGTAATGCCAAATAAATGCTCCCTAATCATATAGATGTAAGTAAAAAAACGTGTATTATGTGGCCCGAAAAACTTATTAAGCTAAACATATGCTAAATTTAAATTAGTTGGATTTTAAAAAAAATAAATAAAGGTGAAGGGAGCATTTGGACGTGAGGGTGACCACTCAAAACGGGGCATTACATTGTCATCCTAAAAAATTTAAAATAATTTTTTATAACTAAAATATTTTTATTTTGTAAATGGACTAATTTGAGAAAACACTCATTTAGATGGTACCATTTTAGGAAAGTAGTATAAAGTTTAACGTCGTTTTAATGCCGTTTCCGCGGTCTTTACTCGGGGAATTAGACTGAGCATTATTCTCAATTAGCAAGTACCATTTTGAAAATTACGGAGTAGTTAATTTTAAGGATTAATTTAAAAAATACATAGTTATTGAATATAGAAATTAATCCAAATAAAATGATACTATCATATTTTAATAAAGTGGTATCATGATTAATTGGGGTACGACGACAAATGTCAAACTTTTAAGTACTTAACTCTATCAACAACAACAACAAATCAAAAAAAAGTTCATAGATGCTTCAATTGTTGCCAAAAATATGTACAAGTTCGGCCTAACAAACAATTGGTACAACTAGCAATTAGCAATGCGCCACCTGGCGGGCGGGAACTAAGCTAGGAATAGAAGAACAAATCATCGGCTATGTTCCCCGGGTACTTCAGTGGAGCCGCATGCACTTGATCTCTATCTCCCTCTCCGCCGTCAACGGGATGTTGACCGTTCTCGTGACCGTTGGGTGGAATGACATCTGAAGCCAACGGGAGCGATCCATTATCCGGCGGTCCAGATTGCGCCACGTCTTCACGACCAGATGATCCTCCTTCCATCAACTTCCTGCCGGCGGCAACAGGGCAGAGGAGGTCTCCGCCTTCGATCTCGCCGGGGAAATCAGAAATCCGACACTGAGATCCGTCGACGTCAACGGTAGAGCTCGGAGAAGGAGGATCGACACTGGGAAACTCATAAATCGCCGGCGCGTGGACCGACGGTCGGATCGGGGCCGGGAATTGAATCCCGCCGCCGCAGGGGAGGGCCGCGTCTAAAGGCTCCGAAACAGAGAAGACAACGATCCACCAGTTCTGATACACCTCCGTGCTGTTGACTCTGACGCCGTTGACAGTCACGGAGCCGTCGACGGAATCCACCGTCAGCTGCCTGTTCGCCGCCAGAGTCGGAAAACTCGAGATTTTTGACGGGTACCTAGCCAGATCCTCGAAACGGTGTCGTTGCGGCAAAACGTGGCTTCGGAAATCGAATCCGAATCCACCCTGATTCGAGAACAGCACCCGATCGGACGGCGCGAACAGCGAAACGGCGTCCAATCTTAACATCTCCGACCGCCGGATCGACAAGGCCGCCGCTACGACGGCGAATCCCCTTCGCCGGAGAGCTCTAACGGCGTGATCGAGAAACTTCCGATCCACCCGCGGTGGGTCACGAGCCACCTGGGGTGGACGATAAGTTGAGACAGAGCATTTCGAAGCCGACGTGGGGTCCAGTACACCGTCGATTCCGTGTACGACGAGGCGGTCGTCGGCGTACATATCCGGCTGTCTGATTCTTACGGCGAAGAATTCTTTCCTGGAAGCTGAAATCGAGACGTCCCCGTTTGAGGTCTTGAAGAGGAGGCAATTGCCGTTGAAGAGCGTCGGGATCTGGTTCCCGTCCGCCAGCGACGAGAGATTGCGCCACTCGAGCGGCTGCCGGAGCGTGTGGTACAACAAAATAGCAGCGGAGGGGCGGTGAGGCAATCGGCGGTTGGGGGAGATGAACTTGGAGATTGCGAAGGAGAACGCGAAATCCGGCGGGGCCATGATGGTGCCGGAGAAGTTGGCGTTACCGGCTGTCATGACGGAGAGGGTGGAAGCGACGAGCGAATAGCCACGTGCGCGGAGGACTTCGGCAGCTGCCTGGACAGAGGACGGCGGATGAGATGGTTGCACGGCGGTTGTGGTGGTGGACGCCGCCCATGTGACGAGGAGGCAGAAAAGGGGCACGGCGAAGGCAAAAATGTTCAAGAAACTGTAACGGCGATACTCCATTTGGGATTTCTTTTCTTCAGTGAAATCTCTCTGTATTCGGTTGAAGAAGAAATATTGGGAAATTTAACGGATTGCGAGTTTATGTGGCGTTTGGTTGAAGAAGATGATACTGGAATTTGCAGGTTGAATAACCGTCTTTTGGCGGGACTAACCGTCTCCGAGAACTACTCAACTCACATAAAAAAACAAATCAAGAATTACTCCCTACTTTTCAAATGCTACCGACTAATTACAAGATCTCCAATGGCTAAACATGACTAGCTAAAGTTATTTATTAACATGTGAATAATGATATAGCAAGTCATTTTACATGATCATCTCTAATCTTTGCTTGCTATAATTTAGCAAAAATGTATTGATTTTACTATTAGAGTACACTATTTATTACTCCCTCTGTCCGGATTTAAAGTTCCCGGTTTGACTTTTGCTCATTTTTAGTGGAACTTGACTTTGTGTACAATTTGTCCAAAATACCCCTATCTTTCTCTGCCGCACAAATCCGATTTCAATTTTTACTCCACCTACGTTTTTCCATGAAATTTCTATGGAACAAAAGACAATGGACACCTGCACGATCGAAGAAGGGTACAATTCCAATCGATGTTTCTGCTCAAACAAGGGGCTTCAAGAATTGAATCCTCTCCACAACTTTAATTGGGATCAAGAATTAACTCCTCTGCTCAAATGGAGTATGGACTTGAATTGTCTCCTCTGCACAACTTCAATTGAATCATCTTCTCTGATATGTGCAGGATCGAAGAATAACAGGGCAACTTGCGTTCTTCCAAATATGAAAAAAATAAAGGGCTTTGAGAAAAAGAATGAGAAGAAGAAAAAGAGGAGAAGGGGAGAGGGAAGATGATAGCTAAATCTAGTCGAGAAAAGAAAGGGGAGAAAAAAGGAGGAGGAGGAGAAAGAAGAAGAAACGAGGAGAAGAAAAGAAGGGGGAGGGGGAAGAGAGAGAGAGAGAGTGGCGGAGAAAGGAACAGAGAGAAAGAAGAAAAAGAAGAAAGAAACGGGAAAAAAGAGGGGAGATAAAGGGTATTTTAGGAAGAGTGGGTATAAAAACGTAGACTGGGAACTTTATTTCCGCACGAAAAAAAGAGTAGACTCGGAGCTTAAAATCCGGACGGAGGGAGTATAATTTTAAAATTTTATTATAAAAATTAATTAATATTCTACAAGTATGCAATTTAAACTTAAAATAAAATAAATTTTATAATTTTTTTGGTAAAAAATAAAATTATTTTCTTTGTAAAAAACATAAAATAATACTCCCTCCGTCCGGATTATAAGTTCCCAATCTACGTTTTTTTCCGTCCGGAAATGAAGTTTCCATTATACGTTTTCATACCCCTCTCCCTAAAATACCCTTCATCTTCCCCTCTTTTTTTCCCTTTTCTTTCTTCTTTTTCTTCTTTCTCCCTTATCCTTTCTCCGCCACACCAGGTTCGGTCTCTCTCTCTTCCCCCACCCCCTTTTCTTGTCCTCCCCGTTTTCTTCCTCCCCCTCCTCCCCCATCTTCTTCTTCTTTCTCCCCTTTCTTTTCTCGACTAGATCTAGTCATCATCTTCCCTCTTTCTCCCCCCCTCCCCCTTCTCCTCCTTTTCTTCTTTTCATTATTTTTCTTGAAGCCCCTTGTTTTTTTTCAAATCTGAAAGAACGCGATACGTCCTATTGTTTTTCGATCCTGCGCAGATCAGAGAAGAGGATTCGATTGAAGTTGTGCAGAGGAGTTAATTGAAGCCCGTACTCCATATGAGCGGATCTGGAGATCCATTTCCGCGTCCATTGATTTAGGGCGGAGATTCGCCTTTGCCGGCGACGTCCATTGTTTTTTTGTTCCATTGGAAAAAACGCAGGCACAATAAATTGAAATTGGACTTGCAACACAGAAGGCTAGGGGCATTCTGGACAAATTGTATGCAAAGTCAACTTCCCATAAAAATGACCAAAAGTCAAAATGGAAACTTAAAATCCGGACGGAGGGAGTATTTATTAATTTTTCTTGCGTTGTGGTACTGAAAGTGAGGGAACAAATGCGTCATGGCACATGAAAAAACTAACCCAACCAACATTTTTCTTCTTCTTTTTGGCTTGCTATATTTTATCAAGTTTGTTATTAGTAGCAAGCCATTTTCATTTTTAAGCAAACTTGTCAAACAATAGCAAGCCCTTTGGAATATGAAGTTTTACTTAATTTGTCAAATTATATCATATAACAAGTCATTTTAACATGGTTGGAGATGCTCTTATAATTCAATAAAATATGCATTAATTAGATAAAATAATATTCTAAAAAAATTTCATATAATAAATCAAAAGAAAATATTTTTGTATCAATATCTAATATCATTTTAATTTAATTTGAGGTTAAAATTTACTGATTTTGATTAAAAAAAACTTATAAGTGGACAAATATTCTAGCATAAAGGAAGTGCTTTGTAATTCAAAAAATATTAATTCATAATTTTTCTCCTTCTTTTAAATGAATTATAACTATTTATTTTATATTTTCAATATTTTTTCTTAAATTATCTGAATATATGACTTTTCACACTTTCCATTATTCTGTGGAGTAATTAATAGTACAAAGTATATTCATACAAATATCGGCCCATTTTGCAACGAAGTAAGCTAGAAACTAAAGTTAGTATTTTGAAAAAGTTGTCTAAAAACAATATTTAATTTTGACATTTTTTAAAATTAATCTACACAATTGAAATATTATTTAAAATGCTAACATTAATAAAAAACACAGTTCCTTGAGAATGAAAAATAGATATTCTTAAAATAGAAGGTATATCAAACTTATAGCCTTGAAATTATTCTAATTCATCAAAATCTTATTATATTACACTATAATGTTGGATAATGATAAAGAGTTTGAAATGGGCATGATGATTTAAATGCTGATTATTTTGATGTTAATGATTATGAGTGAATCATGTTGTCCATCTTATAGCTAGACAAGCTAGTTCTACATCTGATCATATAGAATGACATGTCATTCCACTGCACATTTTTTTATTACAAATGTTATTCATGTTGATTTATAAACTACCCCTCTGTCCCAAATTATTTGTCATATTTCTATTACCGAGGTAAAATGTCAAGTTTTTTCAATTTATTTTATTTGCATATTGGTAAAGAAATAAAAAATAAAAATTACATATCAAAAAACTACATGAAAAGTTCTTCAAAATAAGATGTGTCAAGAGTATTTTATTTTATCAAATAATTAATGAAAATGTAGAAATAAACAAAAGTTCCCGCGACTGTTGAAAAATCAAATGTGGCAAATAATTTGGGACGGAGGGAGTAGTATTTTGTTGTAAAAAAACAGAATATTACTTTAAGGTACCCTCGATTTTCTAATAACGACTCTCAAGTAAGAAGTCTGAAATATACTTCGAGTTACCTTTAGTTTTCTGGTAAGAAATCTCATGTCACACATTATTTAAAACATACTCTAGGATCGTTAGAATTTGTGTCATTATACTTGGAGGGTACATTACATCCATAGTTTTGAGAACCGGACCGGGGACCGAACCGGTCAAGGTACTGGTTCACTGGTTCACTGGTCGAACCAGTGGTTCAACTGGTCGAACCGGTGGTTTAAACATATTTAAAAATTATATAAATATAAATATAAATATAAATATAAATATATAAATATATATATATATATATATATATATATATATATATATATATATAAATACACACACACACACACACATTCTCATATATAAATACATAAAAAGAAAGTAATTTTTTTACTAAAATTATATTAACATACTTGAGTTATTTTAAAAATTAAAATATAAAATTTACATGTTAAAAATAATATTAAAATTTTATTAAAAACATATCAATGATTTTGTGTTTGACTCATAGCATATAATACTACTTATTACTCCCTCCGTCCCAATTTAAATCGCCTGTTTTGACTTTTGGACATATTTAAGGAAAATAAAAAATAGAGTTGATTTTTCGAAATTGACATTATTTTTTAGGAGGAGTGATGATAAATGAGAAGATAAGGTGAAGAAGAGTGACTTATTTTAGGGGTAGTTTAGGTATTTTATTTTTAAAAGTTTACGAAAACAACTAACAGGCAACTTATTTAGAGACGGAGAAAAAAGGTAAACATGCAATTTAAAATGGGACGAGGGAGTATATTTTTAAAATTGAAAAGTAATTTTTATACAATCTTTTTATTAATTATGAAATATTAGCAAAAATTATATGAATTTAAAACAACAAACACCCTTAGTTGGATGGTTAAGAACTTAACCAAATAGCCAAGAGGTCTTGGGTTCAAACCTCCATGGAGTAAACTTTTGGAAAAAAATTGTTAAAAAAAAAAAAAAAAAAAAACTGGTCGGACCGGTCCGACCGGCCGGTTTTTACCGGTTCACACCGGTTCGGACCGGTTCGAAGCGCATTACGGTCCAATGGGCCGGACCGGACCGGTTGGACCACCGGTCCGGTTCACGGTCCGAACCGGCCGGTCCGGTCCGGTTTTTAAAACTATGATTACATCCATTTAGATGTTAGGATTGAAAGTTCTTTTACTTTTAAAAACTAAAAGATTTTATTTAAATTTATTAAAATAATGGTTATGAAAGTAAAATTTATTAACCCTCTCTCTCTGTCACGAACACCGGGGCTTCAAACCCTCTCTCTCTGTCACGAACCCCGGGGATTGAAAGTTCTTTTACTTTTAAAAACTAAAAGATTTTATTTAAATTTAATAAAATAATGGTTATGAAAGTAAAATTTATTAACCCTCTCTCTCTGTCACGAACCCTGGGGCTTCAAACCCTCTCTCTCTGTCACGACAGCTTTAACTTACACCAAAAATTCACTGGAAATGGTTTTGAAGCCCCGAGGCTTCAAACCTTCATTTTTACATTTTTAAATATATATCTTCTAAATTCAAATTAATAAATTTAAATTAATTTATTATTTTAATTAATCGCAATGAGACTAGTGCATTAAAAAATTACATTCATTAAAAAAATCTTACATTCATAAAAAAACATTCATAAAAAAATTACATTCATTAAAAAAATATTACATAAAAAAACATATCACTAATTATTCGAACGACTAAAGATATGCTCGATCAAATCCGCCATTAGTGCATTGTGAATTTCTCGACTTCGAATTTCTTGGCAGTTGCGTCGTTTCTTTTCTTCGGTGATTTCTTCATACATAGGCACCTCCTCGTCCGGGTTGTATTGACAAATCGCAGACCCGTTATCCTCTAGGATCATATTATGAAGAATAATACATGCGTACATGATATTCCTCATTTTTGTCTGAGAATAACATTTCGACGGACGATCTAGAATGTGTCATTTACTCTTCAAGACCCCAAAGGCTCGTTCAATATCTTTTCTCGCCGCCTCTTGAGCTTTTTTGTAGGTCTGACGTTTAAGACCCATTGGTTCGGAGAGGGATTTGACAATCGTGGAATAATCTGGATATATTCTATCGGCCAAATAATATCCACGCTTGTAAAGCGTCCCTCTAAGCTCAAAAGAGGAGTCCCGTGCGATCTCATTAACCTAATCGTCAAAAACAGGCGATTGATTGAGAACGTTGATGTCGTTGTTCGAGCCCGCGACACCGGAAAAAGCATGCCAAATCCACAAGTCATTCGAAGCAACAGCTTCGAGCATGATGGTAGGCTTGGGATGATCTCCCCGGGAGAATTGACTGTGCCACGCAGTGGGACAATTTTTCCATTCTCAATGCGTGCAATCAATACTTCCAAGCATGCCGACGAAGTCGTGTTTAGCGTATGTCGCTCGCTGTAGGCTTGCGTAAATATCTTTTATGATAAATTTGAATAATAGCTTTTGAAAATTTATAAACACATGACCTAATGCTCCGAGCCGACATCTTCAAGTATTCGTCGAACATATCAGATGTCGTCTCGTACGCCAATTGACGGAGCGCGGCAGTGCACTTCTGAACGCTACTAAACCCGCATTGGCCTCTCGCATCAAACCGTTGGGTGAACCAAGGAACCTCGCGTTCAACATCGGCGAGTATGCGTAAGAAGAGAGGACGACTCATCCGAAAACGGTTACTAAAATCCTCCGGTGTATAAACACATAGATTATTAAAGTAGTCGTTTAGAAGTGAAGCGTGGGCGGCCGCTCGATCCCGGTTTAGACGTTGGCGTCGGGTCCGTCGTCGGGAGGATTCAGCTTCTTCTTGGCCATCTTCCCACCATTGAATACAATTCGTCGCGAAACAACAAAAAAAGAAAGCTCTTCTTTCATCGTCGGAAGATGAACCCATTTATTAAATATATTTTATAGATATTTATAATAAATAATAAATATTTTAGAGAGAATATAAAGAGAGATTTGTGAGAGAGATGTGTGAGAGAATGATGTATTTTAGGAGAATTTTGTAGGTTTTTTTTTTAAATTTTGAATTTTTGTTTTTAATGGGGGGGGGATGACGAAGGGCCGAGCCAGCGTCAAACGAATGACGGGCAGGCGATGACGCCCGTCTAACGCCGCCGGGGGCGGTGTTTGACGCCTCCGGGGCGTTAAACGCCCCCTCACGCGCCCGGGCGTTACGAGTAGTACTAGTGCTCTAATGGTCAAATGACTCAAATAGATGGAATGTACCCAAGGAGTACATTAGTACTTATTCTAAGGACACTAGTAGTATATTTCAAATAATGTAGAACCTGAGAGTTCTCTCTAGAAAATCAAAATTGTCCCGAAATATATTTCAGATAATATGGGATTTGTGAGTCATTACTAGAAAATCGAAGATACAACATAATAACTTTCTAGTAAAAAAACGTATACATATTGATTGTCCAATTAGTATTTAAAATGCTACGTATATAACATTGACAATGTTGCGTGCATAACTCAGTTAGCATTTAGACCAGTGGTAATAATGTGATACCTCTCACGCTTAGCGGCGTTATGCGCCTTTTGATGCCCAGGGGGTGTCAAACACCGCCCCCCTGGGGCTTCACCGGGGCGTCATTGCATCGGCATCATACGTTTGACGCAGTCTTCCCCTCCTATAATGGCTAATTTAGCCGTTGGAAGCAAAAAAAGAAAATGTAATTTTTTACCTTAGTTTTTTTAGTAATGTATTTTTTTACCTTAGTTTTTTTTTATTAATGGAAGACAAAAAGAGATCAAGGTCAAATGTAATTTACCTTTGTTTTTTTATTAATTTATTTTTTTAAAATCGTCTTTTTTTTTAATTTAATGAATGTAAATTTTTTAAATGATTCTCGCTTCAATTTCTTACAATTTAATGAATGTAGTTTTTTTATTATTATTGTTTCAATATAATTAAATAATAAATAATTAAATTTTATTAATTTAGTTTTAGAAGATCTATATTTAAAAATGTAAAAAATGAAGGTTTGAAGCCCCTGTTTGAAGCCCCGGGGCTTAAAATTCATTTCCATTGAATCTGTGTGGTAAGTTAAAACTGGCATGGCAGAGAGAGAAATTTTGAAGCCCCGGGGCTTCACGGGTATTTCTAGTGCTCTTAGAATATGGAGTAACGATGTAAAAATATGTAATTTCCAAAAACATTAACAACAATTATTGAATTTTACAGTATTGCCCTATAACCATTCATTTCTTAATTATTTATCCCGGAGGCCCGGAGTATATAAATTGAGAAATTTACCTAAATAGGACTAAAACATAATGATTTTTCCAATATAGAACCATATGTTTTTATTTCTCAATGTAGGACCTTTGGTCATTATAAAGTAGTCATTATTCAAGTAAATGTCCATAATTACTGGACATTATTCCTCCCACTAGGTCATTATTAAGTCTTATTTAGGAAATAAAAAAATCAAGTCTTACATTGGGAAAGTCATTATGTTTTAATCTTATTTAGTGCAAATTTCACATATAAATTTTCCGTTGTAAAAAAAATCCAGAGAGAAGGATTAATAAAGGTTGGACCCGAGAGAATGTTTTAAAAAGAATATCACATATTCGGTGAATCGTATGAGCGTGCAAAGTGCAAACTTTACCGTCTTTGACCTTATTTGGAACAAGGTTTAATGTTTATGATAAAATTTTAATGGTGTAAATTAATTTTGAAAAAGCTAACGCTAAAAATTGTCATCAGATAATCTTTTCAAAACGTTAACGCTAATCTTTAACGTGTATGTCAACGAAGCCTTTATTAAGTTCATTATTATGGCACTGCTCATTTCCAACCATTAGTCAACTGTAACGCCAAATCTACTCTTCCGTATTCAAGTTCACACCTATAATCAATACTCTCTTTTGGACGTTTGAGATTACAACAACGCATTAATATAATTTTCAATTTGATTACAAATTGGGAATCAAATTGGGGTTTAGGAGAAGAAATATTTCACTTTGTGATATTATTTTATTTACAAATCGGTATATCAATAAAAAATAAAAATTATATATTAAAAAAGGTGACAAAATATTTTATTTTATCAAATACTTAAGAAAATACGTAAACAAACAAAAGTTATCGAGATGAGGGAGATTTTTTTTTAATCAAATTGGATATGGAGGGAGTAAAATTTAAGTAAAAATTGATACCTTAAATATTAAAAATTTACTATCATTTCTATCAAGTGTATTTGTATATATAATAATGTTTTTTAGTCAAATTGAATGAACTATTAATTTCAATTACTCTCATTTTCAATCGGTTGTTAGCTAATAACCGATGCAAAAACCCCTTCCCAGAATTATCGTCACTTCTAAGAAGGGGCTTTTAAATCGTTTGACAACCGATGCAAAAGTAAACTCTGCAATTGAATTACAAGCATTTGTATCGGTTTTCAACCGCTTTAAAAAGGTAAAAATAGCCAATTTAAAAAGTCTTTTTTGTAGTAGTGTAGACAAATTTAATAAAATTATTTTTACACTAACTTATACTCCCTCCGTTCCACAAAACACTTCCGTTTTAATTTATTGCGCACCCCATAAAATAATTCTATCCCACCTAAAATGTCTAAAATACCCCTAAAACAACTTCTACCCACAATAAACTACATAGTGGGGAATATTTTAGATATTTTAGGTGGGAGTAAAAGCGTTAAATGAGGTGCGCAAAAATTTAGGGCGGAAGGGTTTTAAGGAACGGAGGGAGTATTACAATTTATGTTTAATTAAAAGTTTGAAGCTCAAATTTTATCTTGTTATTTATTTGATAAAAAAATACTCCCGTCATCTTAATTTAAATTAAGATGACGAGAGTATATTTTTATCAAATAAATAACGAAATCATAAAATAAAATATTTAACTTTGATCGTGAAATAATAAGTGTATAAATAAATTGGAGAGGAAGAAATTATAAACCTAGTTCTTAAATGAGTGCCTTTTAGAAAAAAAAGAGTAAAATTATGTCAATTAATCTACTTGTATTTCAAAGTACCTTCATTTTGTACGAGTGTGATTTTAGAATGATGTTTCACGCAGACAAAAAATGTTAATACAATATTTTTTATTGCACTAATATATTGTGTTCGTGTGAATTATCAAAATATTACATTAATAAGTAACTTTGTTATAGACTTTATAATGAATTACTCCTTAAATTTTAGTGTTGCATGAGTTGTAAATTTTTGATGGGCAATGCTACGTTCACAAACAGAATAATCACAAACTTCACAAATTTACTATTTATGGTTTAAATTCTCATTTTAAAATTATTTTAGACTATTTAATTTCATTTATTAAAGTTCACAAATAGTAAGTTTGTGAAGTTTGTAAAGTTTGAATTTGTGAACCAACCATTTTCGAATGTAGCCACCCTCTTATCTCTCATTTGGTTTTGACCCCTGAAATTAATATGGCCTCCCACCTGAAAAACAACCTCGTCCTCGTCGTCTTCATTCTCGCCCCTATTTCCGCCGCCACCTTTATTACCAGCGGCGGAGCTCAAGAAAATGGCGGCGGAGCTTTCACAATCGAGCTCGTACACAGAGACTCGCCGGCCTCTCCCCTCTACGACACTCTTCTTTCCCAACGGCAGCGCATGAAATCCGCTTTTCGCCACTCTCTGGGCCGACTCGTCCGGACCGGCGGCGGCGACTCCCCTGCTTCCGTCAGGGTTCTTCCCGACCCTAAGGGCACGTACCTCGTCAGATTCTCCGTCGGGGCCGCCCCTTCCGCCACCGTCAGGCTGGCTGTGGCCGACACCGGCAGCGACCTCATCTGGCTGCAGTGCCGGCCACCTTGCCGTGGCGTTCACTGTTCCGGCCAGAATGACTCTCTTGTTTTTAGCCCGGGTGCTTCCCGGACCTACAAACCGGTTCACTGCCGCTCCAAGGAGTGCACCGGTCTGCCCGGAAGCCGGTGCGGCCGGGCTCATAAAACATGTCTCTACTATGCAAGGTATTTTTGCATCCTTTCACTTTACGTTAAGATTCTTTTTTTTATTTATATTTTGTTTATATTTTATAATGGGTAATTTACCTAAAATTAAAAGATAATGACATTCTCAATATATGATCATATGTTTTTATTTTCCAACATAAGAACATTGGTGATTATTTATTAGTCATTTTTCAACTAAATATCCAGCATCACTTAGACATTATTCTTCTCACTGGTCATTATTAAGTCCTATTTAAAGAATAAAAAACTTTTAGTCCTACATTGGGAAATGACTTATGTTTTATTACTATTCAGTGCACATTTCACTTTTATAATTAATATTCAAATATAATTTGATTAATTAGTTTTAAATTAATACGCATCACTCCGTGTATTTCTTTTGTGCTCAAATAAATTTTTAAGATTTTTTTTTGTAAATTTCTTAATTAAAGCTCCTATTTTTCGTCTTTTCTTTTCATAAAAAGAAACTTTTCTTCCAAATATTTTACTCTTTAAAACAAATCTTGATTTTATTGGCCACACCTCTCTTTTCGAGTATGTTTCAATTAACTATATATTTTTTAAATTGTATTCCCTCTGTCCCTTTAAACATGGGATGTTTTGATTTTGAAGAGATTTAAGGGGAGTGTATTTTGGTATTGAATTTTTAAAAATGTCTTTTGATGTGATGAGTAAAAGTAGGATTTGATGGGTAGATTATTAGTAAAAGATATGATTTGATAGGTAGGGTATGGAAAAGTAAGGGTTAAAAGTAACTTTTTAATTGAAATAAGAAGTGTTTTTTGGGACGAATAAAAAAAGAAAATAGAAAGTTTTTTAGGGAGGGAGGTAGTATGAAGTTAACTTGGTACTCACCGTGGATCCTTGAGGGCTTGTTTGAGGATGATACATTTAGGGTTAAGTTATAATTTTTTAAATAAGATCATCTGACGTTAATGTTTAATTTTAATATTTTCAAAATCAATTTGCATGCATCATTATATTAAAAAAATATTTAAAAGGAAAACATTAATAATTAACTTGTCCCCAAACGTAGGAGATAAAAAATCAAATTTCAATTTTTGATTCTATTAATAAACCGTATTAGTAAAAGTAGTTTTAATTTGAAAACCTTGCAAACACTAATCACCGGGTTTAAAAAACAAACCAAAGAAGGCAAATAATTAAGCATGAAGAGCAGCTCACGGGTCCTTTGTACATTTGCTAGGTACAATGATGGGACATATAGTCACGGGGAAATTGCAAAAGACACATTCACTTTGGACCTATCACCACCGGCGGAAAGGGTTGACTTTCCCACCGGAGATCTCCGGACGGCGGCGGCGATGTCATTTTCAGAAAAACGACACAACGTGTCGTTCCCCGACATAATTTTCGGGTGTGGAGAAAGCAACCACTTCGGGAATAACGACACCGAGGTGTCGGGGATAGTGGGACTCGGGTCCTCTCCCTACTCGCTCGTCAACCAAATCGGGGGTCTCAGGTTTTCGTATTGTTTGGTTCCCTTGTCGCATCTAAACGTGTCGAGTAAGTTGCAATTCGGCAGCCTGCGGCCCGCGTTAGCGCTTCAGGGCCTCCCGGGGGTGGTTTCCACCCCGCTGGTCCTCAAGCCCCAGGCGACATTTTACTATCTGACTCTACTGGGAATTTCTGTTGAGAACCAGACACTAGTAGAGTCAGCAACAACGAGCCAAGGCAACATCTACATCGATTCCGGGACCACGTTCACCTTCCTTCCCACGAACATGTACGCGGGGCTTGAGGAGATGGTCAAGAAATCAATACGGTTAGAGCCTATGAAGCCGAACCCGAGGAGATTCCTCGGGTTGTGTTACGAAGATCTTGCACCCGAGCACGTCCCGACGATGAGGGCGAGGTTCGAGGGCGGGGAAGTGAGGTTGAACCCGGCGAACACGTTTGTGAACATTGGGGATGGGGTTGGGTGTTTGGCTTTTGCCCCAACAAAGGGTGTCCCAGTTTTTGGGAATGTGGCGCACACAAATTTCTTGGTGGAATATGATTTGGAGAAGATGGTTGTGTCCTTCATGCCTACTGATTGTGTCAATTGGAAGTACTAATTGTTTCTTCATTCTTTTTCTTTTCAATATATAGACTATTATAACTTCTTTAATACATTAAAAAAATAGATGGATATAGATATAAAGTAATACCTCCTCGTCGAGAATATTTTTCTATTTTTGACTTTTTTAGTTAACCATTTTTAACTTTTGATCTATAATTAAATAAAATATATATTGTATATATCAATTTGATAAAATATTATTTTGAAAATATTTTATATAATAAATCTAATAAAATTATTTTTGTATCAATAACTAATATCATTTTTATTTAATTTGGAGTATCGGAAAAAGTAAAAAATGGACAAATAGTCCTGAAGTGACGGGGTATGTTTAATTTCATTCATTTTTCAATGAATCATATCATGATATTTATGTATCCAATATGCATGTCTTGATTGTCATGTACTCATGTCATCTTACATTAGTTGCATATTACTCCAAAATTTTCTAAAATTATATGATTATCGCTGGGTTCTTTTGACAATAAAAATTATCATTATGTTTTAATTTCCTTAAAAAAATTATTGTCATATTATGACAACAAGCGCTACGATGATCAAATAAAAAAATTGATGGCTATTACAACGTAACCTATCTGTTTCTAAGCCCCCACCCCCTAGTCCAGCACCCCCTATCCGGGAGCCCAAAATCCCGATTGACAATTATAGCATTCCTTGCCCCCTACCCAAAATGCAGATTGACAAAAGTGTTAATGTGTTATTGTTGCCAATCGATAGCAGGAGTGCTGCGGTAAAAGGGTTTAGGAAGAAGAGAGCAACACAAAAACAACATAATTAATTTAAAATATGATTTACGATTTCATCCATTAAACCCACCTAAGTCAAAGGCTTCTCGGATTCCCTTGAATATGCCACCGATATTTCGTCGACCGTGATAGCCCCCTCGGCCACGACCTCAATCGTTTGTAGCAAGAAGGGCATTATGCGGCCCTCCAGAGGAAGAATTGCCTAGATTCGGTTTTTACTCCATCTCAATGTTACTTTTCTCTGAAGTAAGCCATCCAGATAGCTGATTGAAAGTGATGTCGCTATTTTACAGAAATATGTTTTGTTTGAATGAAGAGTATTCGGTACAGAGACCACGAATAACAGCATTGACGACATCTCGCTCAGAAATATATATACTCACGTAAAGCATCAAGATCAACAAGGATAGTTGCGACTTCATCAAGATATTGAGACATAAATTTTGGTACCTTTGCGCAGGGTATGTAGCGTATCGCGAAGTTGATAAATAGGGGCGATGGAAACAAAGTTATACCTTGTTGCTAAGCTTCCCACAAGGCAACAAAAGTAGTGAAGCCACGAGTATGTTTATGGACAACATGACTAATGACGATGAGAAGACAAGCACTGATATGAGTATCAATGACGGTCCAAGAGGCAAAATCAGGATTTGGAGTAGCAACTCCATCAATCCAACCAAGTAGAAGATTCACCTTAAGCGCGGTTTGAACATTTAGCGATCATGCAAGGTAGTTTGTATCCGTGAGTTTTTTTAGGGATGAGATTGTGAAGATTTCGGAGTAAATTTTACTCCAGATGGAAGCAAAGATAAGGGGTCTGCCACCGCCATGAGTTCGTTGGTCAATCGGCCGGAGGTGATGGACCAGCAACACTACCGAAAAAAGTTAGAGTTTGGGAGACATTTTTTCCGATACCATGATATAACTTGAGAATAATTGGTATTACTGAATATAGAAAGATACATCCCTATTTATAGAGATTAATGAGAGAGTTCCAAATCCAAGTAGAAAAAGAAATATAGTAACAATTCAATAAGGAAATAGAGGAATAATGAAAGGAATTAATTAATAATATTCCATTTCCTAATAATATCATTAGATTTTGGGAGATATCAAATCTGAATTTTTTATGCTTCACCAAACACCAAAACAAAAAATGTTCTGATATTAGAAAATCTCAGGACTCACTAGAAGCTATTATTGTTTAATTCTTATTGTTGTTGTTTGTGATGTTAATTACTAGTTGGGTGTCGTTCTTGTGTAATTATACGCGAAGAATCATTTGGCAGCTGAAGTCAGTGCCTATGAGTGTAAGATGAGAACGTTAAAGTTGTCCACGTATCATCGCACTAGGTCCTGAGCTAGTAGCAAGACTGAAATAGAGGTACTGAAAGAGCAAAACAAACACCTCTAGAATCAGATCCAAGAAGATTTGAAAAATTTATAAAGTGATCACAATCCTCCACGAGAAAGTGACGAATCAGGAGGAGCAGGACTATCAATAAAAACTCACCTAAATCTAATAAGTGTAAAAATAAAAATATACGGAGAGGTAGGTTTTAACAATTTATGCACTATGTGGAGTATTAATGTATTACGTCTTCCTGTTGGTCAATTATGAAAATAAAAATAAAAAAATTCTTTTCTTATTAAAACCTAAATTTAAAAAAATAGTTATTTATTTAAGAAATAACTAAAATGAAGTTACATTGAAGTAATATTTTTTTAATTTTTATTTTTTATCAACAAGAGGAAACAATACATTAATGCTCCCTATAGTGCCTAAAACGTTAGAACCCATCACTTTGTATATTTTTCAGTTTTATTTCTTATTAGTTTGAGGTTAGTTTTTATTATTAATTTGTATGATTTTAGTTGTTTTTCTCATTTGTGTTACTTTTTATATCTATTTTTAACCTTTTTTCTGATGCAAGCCTAATCTTCAAAAAAAGAAATGATACAAGTAGAAACTCATTTGAAAAGTTTATGAGAAATTTTCAAAAAAAAATTAAAAATGAAAAATCATAAAAAATAATCACAAATTTCATTTTGTTGCGCAAAACCGGCCTCCGTTAACATGCCGTGAGTATGTTAACGTCGAACCAAAATTCACAAATCTCAGTAAAGTTATGATTATTATGCATAAGAGTGAAACGTGAGATTATTCTTAGAATGGTTCATTTTTTAAAATCTGCACGGGTCTTTCTATGCACACTAACTATATGAATCCATGTGTTCTATATCAGTTGAATCAACACAAACAATAGCATATATGCACAGAAACTGCGAGTTGAGTTCATTTACAATGCAAAGAATAAATCTTTTATCAGTTTCGCTAATACCGGTCTCAAGGGATGTTGATAAGGTGCATTTATTGCACGTTCGTCATGACTTTCTTGGCAACCAGGTGCGTTTATATCACATATAAATGCACCTCTTTGCCAAAAAGAAAAACAAAAGTGCATTAAATGCACCTTTTTTTCGCACAAAGTGCGGAAAAAGACCTTATCAACTGCCCTTCGGGCCGGGTGTCGTGAAACCGAACCGGTGTTTGATTACTTGCCTTCGGTTGCTTTCTGGAAGAGGACAATTGCGAGGGTGACAAGGGATGCATAAACCGAACTGGGCAACTTCTGCACCACCTTCCCAACCACGGGTATGTCCTCGGTTGTCTTCTTTGTCAGCAAAGCCACTGTTGGTGCCACTGCCAGTGTAGTAGTCAACTTTTGACTGATTGTGAAGAACGTGTCTTTTGTTAGTTCCAGGATGAACTTGTTGAACTCCTCGCGGTCCAACTCCCCGTCAAGGTTGAAATCATATTTCTGTGTTTTTGAAAAGAAAAGAAAAAAAAGCAATCTTAGGCGTTGAATATATATTTAGGCAATGTAACAATGAACATAATTGAATAGCATTTCGATAACCTTTCATTCGCTTTTAGGAACGCTATACTTATTAAGATATAGACTCGGCCCTCCAAAACCATCCATACAAAGAGCGTGCATTGCTAACAGTTTATTCAAAGAAATATCAAAGCGAAATTGTAGGGCGCGAAGGGAAGGATATATATATATACCTTCATCAAGGCCCTAACTTGTTCTTTTGAAGGAGGGTCTAGGTGAGGCCCTGGCAAACGTTTGTTTATATCGCTATAAGAACAACACGGAGTTAGCCATTCTCTTCACAGCCTAACAGCAGCAGATAGACAAGACACGAAACCAGAGAGAAACGAATACGATATCTTACTTGAATATAAGCAGCACAGAGATATAGAGATCTTCAAAAATCAGATTCACTCTGTCCGAGTCCTTCTTGAACCGTTCAAACACCGTGTCGGTTATCTGCCGTGTTTGTTTTTCTCTCCATTCTTTGCCGAAATGGTGCCAGAGATCTGGTTCATGCACAAGATATTCCAGTCATGAGAATGCTCTGTTCTTTACACAAAACAATTCACCAAAATTCCTACTAGTAGGATTTTTTTTATTGATGGGTGGCTGGGGAAAATTTATTGAATGAATGTTTTTGTGACAACAAATGTAGTAATGGCAGACACAGAGATAGGAAGCTCAGAAAGAATGTAACTTTAGTTCCTAAAGAGTGCAGTAATCTGAAATCAAGACGGCGGAGGGAATGTTTACCTTCGTATTTGGCGAGAATCTGACCCATGGCGGCGGGGGCGGCGGCGATTGAGAAAGCAGCGGCGGATGAATGGATTTGGGGTGGGAGGAGGAATGAATGTTAGGGCAAATTATCGGGGGAGTCGTATTGTAACTTGAATCAACTCCCACCGGAAGCCACCGCGATTCGTTAGTTGCCCGGGATCCAATCCACCACAGATTCTTCATGTATTTCGCAAGAAAAGAAGAACACTAGTATTATAGGAGGGAGGGTGGCTACCCTATGGTTTCTTGGTGCCAAGAAATTCAAGCAGCTTTGAACCCCAAACAGCCTGGAAATCAGATTCAGCAACCAATCTTTATTTAGAGATACCTACTGATTTCAGCCGATTCTCAAAAGAAATGACAGAAATTATACATTTGGGTATATGATCTTAATATCTACTCCATTACAAATTTCTGTCGTCCTTTTTTGTTATAAATCTCATTTTTAAAATAACCATTTTGAAATGTGAAATAGATCATTCAAATGACGACGCCAATCCACAATCTTCATCTTTCAATATTTTAAACATTTAAGCATATTTTCTTTAAATATAAAAAGTAGCCGGCGGGCGCTGCGCAGTTGATAAAGGGTGTCAAGGGGATAAGACTCGAATTCGATTCCTGACAATTATGATGGGAGCCAACCATGCTAAGCATAGGACCTCTGCAAGTACCATGTGTAGGCTCCACTCTTTGTCACCAATCTGCGATTAAAGTCTAATATACCTCCTCTCAGTGACCATCTCAGTCTAAAATTACCGTCTCATTTCGAATAATGTGCAAAATATAATCTATTTTAAAATAATTTTACTTACAGATTAAATAAAAAGTAAAAATTACATATGAAATATTTCAAAACTACACCAACACATACATCTCTGGTGGATCCAAATGACGGAAGGACCGATGGCAAAAATATGGCGAGGGGTTCGGGAGCAACGACCCCAATTTTTTTCCCATGATAAATAATGTAAAATTTCGTCTCAATGTTTGAATTACTATACATTATTTATAACCAAGTAAATAAACAGTTTTAAATTTTGAAATGATGCTTAAATAAATTATTAAAGCATGTAACTAATCAACTAAACAAGATAAATGGTGGGTTACACCAACACTCCCCCTCAAGTTGAAGGTGGGAACAACTTCAACTTGCAACTGAAAAAAATCCTTTGTGCAGCATTGTGTATGAAGATCCTCTTGAGTCTTGATCGTGCATAAACAACTTGCAGCATCCTAAACCAACATGTATACTTAGCTCTATTCTCTTCCAAAGTTATGCCAAACGTCTCAAGCGCCCCATCATGATATCAGTGTCGAAGAGAGTCAACTTTGAGATCTTTGAACTTGGACTTGCTAGAGACAAGCTGCAGAACAGTGGAGGCACAACTCAAAATCTGAAGGCCCTTAACTCTCTATTGAATGGGAAAATAATGCTTTTGATTGTAGACAACATCACTCTCAGGTTCAAAGATGAAATAGGAAGATGAGAGGTGATAAAAAACAGCAATGTGCTAGTGATGGCAGCCATGGTTCCCCGAACGAACAGAGAAGGAAATCATAGACAACCGATGATGAAGATGAGATGAAAAATCAATTGATGAACTCAAACGAAAACATCAAATGATGAAATGAAATCAATTGACAAAAACAATTGATGAAATCAACCGAAAACCGGATGATGATGAGAGTGAAACTCGATCAAAACGATTCAAGTGAAACTCGATCAAAACGATACGAGTGAAACTCAATCAAACCGATTGAGTGAAATTGATCATGATGAAACTTCTGAATTTACAGAAGTGAAAGAATGACTGAAACTAAACATTCCAATCATGAGAATGAAAATGAAGTTGGATACTGAATTTGAGAACCAACACAATGAACAGAGGATCAATATGGATCAACTGTGATGAAACCTGATTTGGAGAGATTAATAGACAGATAGGCGCTGGGAAATACAGAGGCAGATGCAGGAGATAGTCCATCAGTAAGCCCTGCAAGTGCCGATGATGTTGGTGAGGCATCGGTTGTCGGCGAGAGTCTGGATCTTAGTACCAGACGCCAACCTCCGAAGGAATTCGAGCGGATAGAGTCCAAGAACAGAGTGCTCGTGTAGAAGCAGCCGCAGAACGCACGAGCGGCATGTGAGAATCGATGAATCATGCGGGGCGAAGATGGTGATCGGAGCGCCGGTTGAGAGATTAGCGCTCGCGGCGGCAGCAGACAGCTCCTCGAAACCTAGAGCATGCAGAATGTTTGCGAAGACTGGAGGCGCATAAAGTTGAGCGTCGTACGAGTACTGCTCCGGCGACGGTGCGAACACCGGAGATAACGATGAATCTGAACGGGAAACGGAGTCTGTCGTAGCTCCAGATATGAACAGCGAGATGAGAATGAGTAAGACGAGGAGAATCTGCAGTTGCAGAGCACCGGCGGCCATGGCGGTTCTTCTAGAGAGAGAAAGAGAAGCTTCGCGTGATTGATTGAGAGAAATCAGAGAATGATGAATGTGCAGAGTTTCCGCCATGAAAGCAAGAGAGAAATTGAAGATAATGAGCCGATTGGGTGGAGCTAAACCAACCGCTCTGATACCATGTTGGAAATGAAAGGATCAAATTGTATTAACTAGCTCAAATTGTGTATTACATGGTTAAGTCTTATATATAGAAAATGAAAAACAAGTAAAAACGAAAAATATCTTCTTAACAAACTAACAAACTATGTAATTAATCAACTAAACAAGATAAATGGTGGTTTACACCAACAAAGCTAACTTTCAATTAAAGATTTAAAATTCTTTGATTTTTTTACGCAAGTTGAAATTGAGAAAAGTTAATGGGAGCATCCCATTTTTTAGTTGGGGCATGTATATTTTTTACTAGGGGCATTAGTGTTATTTTTTAAAAAATAAGTGGGATAATATAACAGAGTCATATCACATCTTGTTTCGTAAAACTTTTGGGCTTATTTTTAAATACGAAATTTTATTTTTCACAATAAATTTTTAAATAAAATAAATAAGAAAAAGTCAAGAAAATTTCAGTCCGGAGTTATGGGGGTTTTTTTTTGTTAAAATAATGTTAATAAACTAGGGCAGCAAGTTTTCTACAATGAAATGAAATAAATGAGGGTACAATTCAAATGACATCCTTGTGGAAAACATAAAAAGACAGATTCCACTTGGGAGGAAGAAGACACAATATGTGTGCACACCCAAAGCTCAAAGCTTTTGTTTTCCTTTTCTAAGTGTTTCCAGTTCTGCTTCAGCAACACTCAATTGTTCCCTTAGTATGCACACTCTCTGTTCTACTTCTTCTAGCGAGCTTCGTACAAGGGAAGGCCGGTACGGAGTTGTAAAATTATGCGAAAGCGCCTTCAAAGCTTCAACCCCACACACCTACCAAAAAGTGTTGATCAGTTGAGTAAATTCTTTTAGAAGTATACCTACTCATGCATGAACAGAAAGAGAAGGCTTATGCCCTGTTTGGTAACCAAGTTCGGCTTATTATGCTTACACTAGTAAGCAGTAGAATAAGTAGCTTTCGGTTTATTCAGCAGACTCAAGTAGATAATTTAACCAAACGAGTCCTTAGCCCATAAATACCATTTATACATGCAGTCATAAAACCAAAGAAGTATAAGGGAACTAGAAAAAGGGCATATTCTCAAATATAGTCCATGTGGGCGCGAGAGAATTTGTAGTACCTCTTCTGGCAGCACGGGTAATTTGGTAATGCTGAAGTCGTCATATAACATGTAGAATTGATCCAAGTATTTTTGTTGCATCCGCATTCTAGCCTTGAGCAACTTGGACTCAACAGCTAAATAGGAGCGTGTTTTGAAGTTAATTTTCAAAACAAAAAAAACCTTAAAAGATTTGATAGTAACACAATATGAAAAGTGCACCTTCTTCATCAAAAATCACTTGGTTAATAATAATGTTATGAGTGTCGATCTCAAACCTAGTGAGTTCTTGCACAAGCCTCTCCGTCTCATATAGGGAGAGGAATTCTGGGATACAGACACAAACAAAGGTTGTCAAGTCCTGTAAAAAACAGTGATGAGGAATTCCTATTGTGCGCTTGCCACTTTAATTCTCACTATGCAATAAATTGTTAATACCACACAGTGACACAAACTTTACAATATAAAATAACAACGACAACAACAGATCCAGTAAAATTCCACACAAAGTAAGCTCTGAGGAAGGTGAGTGAAAGCAGACCTTTCCCCTGCTTGGAAGTAGTAGTAAACGACGAAGTTGTCGTCCATATTTATTTTATTTTTAGTTGTTACTTTTAATCATAATAAATCAATAGCGTTGGGGTTACCAATCTCAAAAGCCACAACTTTTCTTTAAATAGTTATTTGAGGGAACTGAAGGTTTTTAGACAAATTTTTTACCGGATCCTTGAACTGCCTGCTAACTTGTTGAATAAGCTCTTTCATTCCCTCAAGCCTTCCTAGGATTGCATCCTCACCAAATTCATCACCAACTCCAAAGAAACGACCCATCTGTAAACAATGTGAAATAAGCCAAATAAAGATTACCCATATTGCCCCCACATAGTTGTACCCATAAGGGGGGCAAGGGCATTGCTAAAATATGAGTGTTAATAATATTCATGAACACCATTTCCATAAAAGCAAACTTTTAAGATAGAAAGTAAACAAGAGGAAAGAACAAATAAATATGTAGAAAGGTTGATAGCACACCTGACTCAGGAAGCCACCAAACTTACTCTTCAAACTCATCATTTTGACAAGGCCTTTCTCAAGGGTTGAGGGAAATTGTAATAATCGTAGCGTGTGGCCTGTAGGTGCCATATCAAATACTATAACAGAGTAATCCATGGTTTGCACTAATCTGTAAAAGAAAATCAGCATGATATATTATTGTACTCCGTACTATTTTTAATTCTTCATGGAAACCCAAATATAATTTGTGTTTCAGCATTTCGTCAAAAAATGAGATTTACTTTAGCATCTCAGCGAAACTCATGGCCTCATCAATCCCAGGAATAGCATTTGCCAGATCAAACAAAAACCCATCCATTCCATTAGAACTACCACCTTCTTGATGTTCGACATTGGGGTCAACTTCCTACCAACCAATATTCAGTATCTGCATTAGTGTACATCAACACAGCTAGCAGTTCATACACACGCATCTAAACCAGAAAACAGTGAAAAAGTATCATCAAAATTCTTATAAAAAATTCACCTTTAGGTCTTGTTTGTTTGAGGGAGGGGAGGATAAATAAGGATTAGTTTTTTGTTTACAAATTCATTTCCATTTGTTAAGAAAATACGGTAACATGATACTCCGTATATGGCAAGAAACGAACTCAACGAAAAGTTGAAGTTGAAGCTTAGAAATCCAAGAAAGATTTTTAAACTCTCGCACGCTCTCCTCTCGCAAATGTGATTTGCACTTAAAATGCAAGAACAGCAAAGGACCTTCATACCTTACAAAACTGAGCCTATGACCTTTCGGTCATCAAAGCTAGGATATCGATACCACAAAAACTACTGCTTCAGTCACAGAGTATTCGTCCAGTTCTACTTTTCCGAGCCAAATTAGATCAATTTTAATCACCAATTAGATAAAAATTGCATTGCACATTGACACAATGAAACACGGAGTACTATTTTTGCAAGATAAATCTAATGGAACCATTTTTGAACTAATTCGCAATGTAATTTTTATTCAATTCAGATAGTTATGCAAAAATCAAAATCGAACAAAGGGAATAGAAGAAGCGGAAGTCGCAGTACCATGGCGTAGAGATTGGAGAAGCCATTGACGAGGGTGGGAGCCTTGGTGAAGCGCTGTTGGAAGGCGTCGCTGAGATTGTGGGCGGGATCGGTGGAGATGATGAGGACGGAGGATCGAACCCGGGAGAGGAGGATCCCAATGATGGAGCTGCAAGTCGTCTTCCCCACTCCGCCCTTCCCTCCCACGAACACCCATTTCAGCGTCTCCTGATCCAATACGTTCTGCACTGACCCTTCTGCCGATTCCCTTGACGCCATTATCGAATCTCACCTCTCTCTGCAACCAACCCAGATCCGATCATTGATGATGCATGGGCGACTCATGCCCCTCTCCTCTTACACTTTTTTTTTTTAAAAAAAATTCTTTCAATATAATCCACTTTTTTTCCAAATTCCAAAAAAAAAAAACAACAAATCATGCCCCAAAGTTGCCTAAAACTATGACTTTAATAAATGAAGTAAGATTAAAGTAAGAATAAAATATAGGAAAATAATGAGTAATCAAAATAGACTTGTGTAATTTTATCCCAACATATGACAATTTATCCTTTTTTTAATTTTTTGCTTAATCATTGAAAAAAATCAATGCTGCTCATTTTCCGGCGCATACTAGTAGTATCACAATATTAGTATAAAATATTCCCTCCGTCCCACAAAATATTATCCATTTTAAATAGTATTTGGTTAAATAGTTACATGCTTTGATTACAAATTGTGAGAAAAATATACTGAATTATAATATAAATTTAATATAATTGAATTCATCTTAGGATCTAGTTTTGATATATGTCAATTTTTATAACATTTCTTTACTTAGATTATATTTAATTTGATGGATTAGGGATTTTTCCTAATCCAATATTATTTGAACCGTACAAGAAAGCCCAATTTCATCTGGCCCAAGATATAAATCAGATAAATTATTCAAGACAGAATCAGAGATATATGGAGAGAAGAATATATTTGAAGTGATGTGGAGACATTTGGCGTGACCCGTGGAACACTATCACCTGGAAACCACATGTCACACATGGACTTCACATGGACAATGTCCCCTCTTGTCTCCATCAATTATTTCCTTCTCCTCTTTAAATGCAGGTTACGAAGGAGTTCACTAGTTCTACTATTATTCTTCATTCTTCTCCTTCTCTTAGCTTGGAGCTCCATTAATGGCTCTAAGCTTCTACAATGATGTATATGTAAATTTCCCCCGAGATTAATAAAAGTTCCTCCCCGTTTGGCATGGCACCGCCTAAAAAGGCCTGTGGTTTTCTCCCGATTTGGGTTTCCACGTATAAATACTTTCTCTCCGTTTATTTATTTACTTAATTTCCGAATTTCGCTATTCGGTGCGCTGCCGACCCGGTACCGATTTCAACGGGTCGACGCCCCGAAAAACTGGTTTCCATCTTAATTTATTGTGAAAACGTGTAACTGCTTGACCAAAAGTAAATCAAATTGAGTAATATTTTGTGGGACGGAGTGAATATCAATTAATGCTATAATGCTAAAGATGGTAAGACAAACGTAACACTTCATAATCCTAATTAAACATGTCCATTTGCAATGTTACCCGTGTCATCCACAAATTTCCAAAAAAAGAGTAAAAAGATTATGAAAATAAATTTAAGAATGCCCATATAGCCAACTTTTCCCCAAATCAAAATTAAACAAAACATTGTTTCATATCCAATTGTTTTTCGGTACGTTATTAAATTAAACTAAACAAAATGAGAATAATACGAATTAATTACCGAATAATTTTAAGTGTACCCTAAAGTTGTGCAAGTCAGAAAAACACCTGCATTTTTTTTTAAATTTAAAAATTAATTTAGATTAAATTTTGAATGGTTTTAGATTTAAAAAAAATATGACACTCCTAGTTTGAAAAAATAAAAAATCATCTCATTTTAAAAATAAAAATATGTCTCTCATATTCACTATAATTCCAAATTCACCCTCCACAACAAAATGGTCTATAGTATTTCTTTATTCATTTATTAAAAATTAAAAATTTTGAAAATAACAGAAAGTCCACATCTTATGCCTGACGTACGTTTGAATCAGTCGTCTTTATATTCAACTCGTTTTGCCATCTTAAACTCTTAAACTAATTAATTACCGACTAATAATCGATCAGCAAATTAAACCCCAAAGAAAAACAAACAAAAAATTAAACCACTTGGATCATCATCCATCTCAAATTCTTTAATTTCCTCATCCATGATCTTTCATGCAACGCAACAGGTACCTTAATTACTACGAGTAATAATTAATCTTAATTTCTTTTCATTTGATTTGAGATTTTATATATATATATATAAAACTGCGAGAATTGACTTTATCGTGAGAATGTTGCATTTTTATGCCGATGGATTTTTACATTTTGGTAGCGTATTTTCGCCACTGGAAGTGAAGTTCAACTTATTTACCCTAATTAATGTCATTGCGTTTTTCCAGAATTTTTTCAGTTTACTTTGAATTTTTCAAGCATTAGATCTTACATCGAGTATACGAGATACATTCTTATTTCATTTATTAGATCGTATTGTCACTTGATCCAAAATATAATGTCTACTGGAAATTATATTATATGCATAAACAGGATCATCAATTTGGAAAAAGAAGAAGGAGAAGAAACTCTATATCCAGTATATATAACTATAAGATATGATGGCCACGAAGAACAATACTACTAGATCTATATCCAGCTGCAGCAGGTATAATTAATGAAACAACATTTTTATTTCTATTCTCAGTGTAATGAAATAATTGTGTTTTTATTTTATTTTATTTGAAATTTTTGTCACTGTTTTTTTTTTGTTGTAAAAATTGTTTGGTTTAGGAAAACAACACTCCATGTACGAATCGATGGAGTCACCTGCGCAGTGGATAGGGTAATTAATTCACAACCTTATTTTGATTTTTGCCCTAATTTGACTTTCCAATTACTTCATCCTTTGCATGAAATTCTTCCCCTCTCGTTTTTTCTAATTCCTTAAAACACTCCTAATTCCTATTAAAAAATACTTTTAACTCTACTTTTTCGTATCATACCTATCACATCATATTTTTTCACTAATAACCAAACTATCACATCTTACTTTACCGATCACATCGGGACAAAATTAAAAAGTCAAGCTAAATTAAACTTTTCTTATTTTAGCCCAAAGTCAAAATATGAATGATTTTAAGGAAGGGAAGGAGTATACTTTTAGCATTGAATGCAAAATGAATAAAAAAGTAGTCCGTATATTACAATGACTTTATTTAGATATCATCCGTATTTGTCATTTTTTGTAAAATTGAAAGTATTTTGAAAAAAATGATAAAAATAAAAGAATAAATATAATGGACTTTGCAATTTGTTTGTTTGTATAGGAGCTCTTGGCAGAAAAGTCCTCAAGAGTGGCAGAAGGGGTGAAGGAGAACCCAGAGGAGAACAACCTATGTGCCCTACTGGGGGAGGACACCCTCCCCACGGACCCACAAACATTCGAGCTTGTGGCCAGGTTCTGTCACGGCTACGCCGTCGACCTCACCGCCGACAACGTCTTCCCCGTCACCTGGCTGGCCTACCACCTCGGCATGACCGAAGACCACCGCCCCAACAACCTCCTCATGATGGCCTACGCCCACTTCCGCCACAACGTCCTCCCCAGCTGGAACAAGTCCTTGAGAGCCCTCCTTGTCATGGAGCGCCACCTCGACCAGGCCGCCGAGCTCGGCCTCGTCGACGAGTGCGCCGAGTCCCTCGTTGCCCAGGCTCTTCTCGACCCTCGGCTCGTCGCAGACGAGCCGATGGTCAAGAAAAGTACGGATGGAAATGCTTCCGTCGGCCAGAGTCGGACGAGGGCGAACCCGAGGAGGACTCTGTTCGTCCCGGACTGGAAAACCGAGGACCTGACCGGCCTCGGTGTCAGGCTATACGAGCCGATCATGGCGGCAATGATCTGCCGCCGTGTACCGCTCGAATACTCCACCGCTTCTCTGTGCCGCTACTTTACAAAGCACAAAGTAGAAGGAGACAGAGAAGTGGTGGAAGCCATCGAGAGGCTCTTACCGGGCGGCGAGGACGACGATGATGAGGAAGAAGAAGTTGTTGTTCCCTTCGTAACCCTGGTGGAAATGCTGGAATCCGCCGAGGAAACGGGCGCGAGCGAGGAGTGCAGGGACGGGTTGGAGGGCAGAATCGGGAAGCGTCTCGACGAGGCGACTGTCCCCGACCTGATCTTCCTGTCCCGACTCCCCGAAGACGGTCCAGAAGAAAAATACAATGCCGAGCGCGTGAAGAGGATACTGAAGAACTACTGTCGTCGCTACCGAGGCCCCGACATCTCGGGATTCGTGAAAGTGGGAGACGCAATGGACGCCTTCGTGTGCTCGGTGTCCTCGGACCCCGAGCTGAAGGCGTCCGCGTTCGTCGCCCTCGGGGAGCTGTGTAACTCCATGAGGGCGGCGACGAACGGGTGCTCGGACGCTCTCTACAGAGCGGCCGACGTGTTCCTCGAGAAGCACGGGTGGCTGAACGAGCACGAGAGGGAGGCGGTGTGCGGGGTCGTCGACTGCAACAGGATGTCGGAGGAGGCGCGGGAGCACGCTGCGAGAAACCAGCGGATGCCTCTGAGGCTTGTGGTGCAGGTTCTGTTCTTAAGCCAGATGAAGCTGAGGGACACCATTGTTTCCGGCGAGGGGGCGGCGGCGGCGCCAAAGTGGGAAGAGGGAGGAACAAGAAGAGGAGGGGATAACAATAAGAGTGGGAAGGAGAAAGGGGGGAGTTCAGTTAGCGTGTGGAAGAAAGTGAAGAGAAAGCTTGGGTGCATGACCGCCGTGCACGGTGGTTCTGTAAACTGTCATGTGAAGAAGAGGAACAAGGTCACACACTCCAAAATTGGAAAATAGAGTTCCACTGCTTTTTTTACTCCAAAAAAACGGGAGTATTTTAGATGAGAGTACAATTTAGTTTTATTGCCCAAAAGAATAATGTTTAAGTGATATATGATATTTTGTTAAATAATGAGTAATAAATAATGATCAATGGTCCTACATTTGAAAATAAAAACATATGTATCTATATTGAGAAAGTCATTATATTTTAGTCTTATTTAGGTAAATTGTCCTTCTTTCATATTTAATTTTTCACCATTTTTAATGAAGTATATATTTTAACTATGAAAATCTTTATTTGTAGAATGATCTATAAAATCAATATTTATTTTGTATATAAACCTTAGTTATAAATACCATAAAAAAACCGGGTCATTTTAAGAAAAGAAAAGATCTATTTATAATCAGTCCATGAAAATATAAGAATACAGTTTACATTTTAATGTGAATTTTAGGATCAGAAAGTCACAATTCATTATAAAAAATATAATATTTCAAAAAAAAACCCTTTTGATATTAAGTGTATTTTCCATATTTTAAAGTCA